GCGAAAAGGGAGAATGCCCGCGCTTCTACTATGCTGAGGACGTGGCTTGTTTCTCGTGAACGGCCGCATCTGGGCGCATTCAACATCGCTACTGTCGGGCGTGGCCAGACGGTGGGCTAGGGCGGCGTGCAAGACCTCATGCGCAGGGATATGGGCTGGATCGGACGACGATTGCGTGTTCGCTGCGACGCGGCTACTTGGACTCTCAGGGCGACGATGCCGTTCGTGGGCAAGCTGTTGCCGTCTTACGTGCCCGCTCTACATGATGCTCGCCGCTGCGCCTGATTGTGAGTGCATTGCTCGTTGTCACTGGGCGGTGTGAACTCGTGTGGCATTCTATGTGCGTAATATTATCACACATCGCGCGCAATCGTTTCGCAGACGCGAACTTGCCGAATGTCGTGCCGCGCACTGTGGCGGTGAACTTCTTCGGCAGCAAGCGCAATCTGGCGCGGGCATCACTGCGTGAATCGCTGCATCGGCGGGGAAGCGCTGATTTGCTGTAATAATCACACGCTTGTGGCGGGCGTACTGATTGGCGTGCTGCCTACGCACGCTTGGAATTGTTGCGCTCCCTCTGTCGATTCCACTGGTTCCTGATAATGCGAAGCGACCGAGACATCGGGCTGCTTCCCGACGGAGATAGAGTAAGAGCAGGGCAGGGACGTAAGAGGCGACAGTGGTGCGCTGGCCTCCGGGCGAATTTGACTGGAGGCTGCGCGAAGTTGTTCTGGTGCCCTCGTTCTGGTTCATCGTCTGGGCGGAGTTTTTGGCGGTATCTACGACAGCGGCGGTTACGTTTCAACTCGTGCCGTTCCTGACAGACGGCGGGATGTCGCGGTCGCTTGCGGCGGGCGCGCTGATGGTTAGCGTACTGCTGGGCGGGTTGTCGGTGCCGCTGTGTGGGGTACCTATCAGACAGGTTCACAATACGGCGGCTGACAATCGCGGCAGTAACGGCGACGAGCGTTCCGACCGTAGCGTTTGCGTTAATAGACGTGCCGAGCGTCGGATTCTATGTGTCGGTAGTGTGGGGGATTGCATCGGGCGGCATCCCTGTGGTGGGTAGCATGATGATTGGCGACTACTTTGGCCGACGATCTTTTGGGGCGTTTGACAGGGCTGACGGGTCCGTTTCGCACGGCGGCGATGGGGCTGGGGCCCGCTCTGGGTGCGCTGTTAGTAAATGTGACGGAGGCTACACGGCGATATTCGCGGTTGCGGTGGTGTCGTATATCGCTGCGGTGGCGCTGAATTACAGCGTGCAACGCCCGAGGCTGCCACCCGAGAGCCGCCGCGTGACCGCCGCTGCGTGACTGAAGAATCAGTCTGCCTCGCGGATGCACTGCTCCAGAAGGTCGAAAGCGGCCCTTGCGAATGCCCACATGTTGGCTTCGCGGTCGTTGTCTCCCGTCTCGACGGTGATGGCGCGCTCGATTGGACCCGAGACGGCGATACAGGCATGGCCCGCGTCGTCGCCATATCGGTTGCCAGTGGGGCCGCTTGCTCCCGTCTCGCTGAGCGCCCACGTCGTGCCGAGAATCTCGCGCAGCGTTCGTGCGTTGAGCGCGGCGTAGTATTCTGTGCTAGCGCGTTGCCCTTCCATCGCCTCGTCGGGCACGCGCAGCAGTCCTGCCTGCCCCACGCGCGTGTAGATTATCGCTCCGCCGACATAGTACGCCGATGCTCCCGACACCGACACGAGTGATGCAGACAGCAGCCCGCCGCACGATGATTCGGACACGGCGATGGTGTGTCCTTTTTCTTTCAGAAGTTCTCCTACGGTTGCCGAAAGTGCGCTTAATTCTGTCATTGTGCTCTCCGTTTGGTATGTGTAAGCCGTTGCAGCCTGTACGCAGGGCTCGGTTGAGGGCGTTGCCTTATGCTACACCAGATGCAGATGCTCGCGTACTTTGTGGGTTGACTAAGTTGCGCGGCATCCTGCCGTCGAGTACTGCTGCCACTTCCTCGCCGTAGCGTCCGGTGCGGAGCTGCAGCGACAGGACGGATGTGTGCCCTGAGTGCGGCGAGAGCACTACATTATCCATCGAGAGCAGTGGGTTGTCACTGGCTGGCGGCTCTTTCTCGAGCACATCTAGGCCTGCTCCCGCAAGCCAGCCCTCTTGCAGGGCTTTAATCAGAGCGGCTTCTTCCACGACGGGACCGCGCGATGTGTTGATGAGGTAGGCGTTGGGCTTCATCAGGCGCAGCGCGTTCTCATTGATGATGTGGCGTGTCTCGTCTGTGAGTGGCGTATGCAGCGAGATATAGTCCGATTGGGACATCATTTCGTCGAACGATACGCGCGTTACGCCTCGGTCGGTGAATACTTCGTCTGAGATGTACGGGTCGTAGGCAATGACATTCAGCTCGAAGCCCTTGGCACGCTGCGCCATTGCGCTTCCAATGCGTCCGAGACCAAGGATGCCGATCGTCTCGCCATGCAGCGAACCGACATCATACGGAGGACGTGGTGTCCATGTGCTGGAGCGGATGTCGCTGTGCAGATTCACCACACGGCGATTCAGCGCCAAAAGCAGAGACATCGCCTGATTTGCTACCTCGCGCGTCCACAGATCGGGGATGTTGATGACCGCGATGCCCTGCTCGGTTGCCGCTTCGACGTCGATGACATCGTAGCCGACGCCGGTTCGCAGCACGACCTTGCACTGCGTCAGCGACTCCAACACTCGGCGTGTCATCGGTGATTCGGAAGTTATGATGCCGTCCGCGTCCCGAACATTCGCGATGATCTCATCCTCGTCATGCTTTGGAATCAAGCAGTTCGAGGCTTGCGCCGACCTCTTCCAACGCGGCGCGGGTGTCGGTCAGGTCTTCGCTCTGCCAGCGGCCCATGTAATAGACGGTAAAGTTCTGCTCGCTCAATCTTTGCCCCTCCGTGAACCTGTCAATGAGAATCTGAACTGACGGATAGTATATCACGCAGTGCAGAATGGGTGATGTAGGCGAAAAGGGCAGTGGCGTGTTCCGATGGACAGGGGTAAAATGAGGAATTGGTTGACGGCATAAGCAGCGATTCTCGCTGCGTACTTGGAATGCCGTCTGTGGCGCTTCCAATCCCTGACTACAATGGCCTGCATGGCAAATTGTGGAAAGGGAAGTGGTGGCAACGGGTGGGTTCGAACCACCGACCTAACGCTTATGAAGCGTCCGCTCTGCCCCTGAGCTACGTTGCCATCCCTTGAAGTTACCGAGGTTTAATTATACGGGAAATTCAGCGGCAGTAAAAGTGATATTGCCCTGTACAGGTGCGACATGATGGATGATACTCAGATAGACCCGCTTATAAAGCGCGCTGTGGCTGATGCTCTGATGGAACGCGCGTCGATCGAACTCAACAAGCTGCTTGTGGAGCTTGCCGGGGCGTTGAATCCCTTCCCAGATTTTATGGGAATAGCGTCGATTCAGGCGGTCGAGATTGAGCCGACAGGGACGTCGAATCCTGACAACGGCTGTGTAGTGGTGTGCCCTGATGGCGAACTGCGGGAACTTGTGCTGCGGATGATACCGGGGCCCTTCGACATGGGAGGAGTTGAGCAGACGGACGAGATGGCGGAACTTGAACTACCGCCGGGCGAATATGTCGCTTATGCCTACGCAGGCGTGCACGAATTGCTTCGGCTTCTGGAAGAGCAGCAGGTGTATCAATAGTCTTCCGCGCTAAGACCCCTGCGCTGTAGCAATCGAGACGGCACGCGCTTGAAGAAGAACTCCCTCCAAGTCGGAAGGTGCGGCTTCCTTGCCATCAGGACGCGCAGCATCCTAGAGGCACCACCAACAAGCGGAGAGCCGTGTCCGCCACAGAGAATGTCGAAATCAGCGGAAGCTAGGCGCTCAAGTGACTCTTGATACCGCACAGTGTCGCTGCCGGGGAAGGACATTGAACGGCTGACACGCCCATACTCACTGAAGATCGTATCCCCGCTGAAAAGCACCCCGTCGCGTTCCAGCAGGTAGCACACACTGCCCGGCGTGTGACCCGGTGTGTGTATGACGCGGATACCGCCGCCGGCAGGTATCACCTCATTCTCGTAAGACAGGCGGTCAACGAGAGTTTGGCTAAGGTACGGAATTGGCAAGTTAAGGGATGCGAATACGCCCGCGTAACTGAGGGTATGCGTATCCGGGCGTCGGTGGACCGTGTCATCATGGTGGGCGACTATCTGAGCGTTGCTGCGACGGCGTAGCCCCGGCGCGCCTCCCGTATGGTCCGGGTGGCTGTGCGTCACCAATATGCGACTCAGCTCGCTTGGCTGCCTTCCTATGCTTGTGATGTACTTGAAAACACGCCCCACGCTCCAAGGCATGCCCGTGTCAACTAGCGTCAGCTCGTTGTCCTCAATCAAATATATGCGGGATATTTTAGTGCCTGGAACGGCATGGACGCCTGGAATAATTTCCAAATGACTCGCTCCCTGAGAAAAACCTGTCGGCGCTGCTCTTACCAGTAGTTTACCGCATGCGCTCATGGAAGAAGATGGCCGGCTTATGGAATAAATGTGTTCGATGTGCGTATAATTGGCGAAACTTTGAGGAGGATCTAACTAATGAACATTGGCATTTCTACCTTTCCTACCGATTACTCTGCGGATATCGCAATCATCGCTAAGCGCGCAGAGGAGCTTGGCTTCGATTCGCTTTGGGTGCCGGAACATCCCATCCTGCCTGTCAACGCGAGTTCGCCGTGGCCGGGTTCGGCGGACGGCGTCATCCCAAGGGTCTATGCCGACATCGTGGACCCGTTCGTTGCGCTTGCCCGAGCGTCTGCGGTTACGAGCACGATAAAGCTGGGCACGGGCATCTGCCTTGTACCGGAGCGTAACCCGCTGCTGCTTGCGAAAGAAGTGGCGACACTGGACATGTACTCTAAAGGGCGCTTCCTGTTCGGCATTGGTGCAGGTTGGCATCGCGAGGAAACAGAAATAATGGGTGGCGATTTCGACCATCGCTGGACGCAAACGCGCGAGGCAATCCTAGCGATGAAGGAGCTTTGGACGAAGGTAGAAAGCGAGTATCACGGCAAGTATTACGACTTCCCAGCTGTGTATTCGTTCCCGCGACCGACGCAGCGCCCGCACCCGCCCGTCTTGCTGGGCGGCATGGCACGCAACGTATTCAGGCGCGTGGTTGACTATGGCGACGGCTGGATGCCCAACCGAGTAACACCGGAACAGATAAAGCAGGGCAGCGAGACAATCGCGGAGCTTGCGGACGCCGCGGGTCGAGACCCATCATCTATAAGCGTGTCAGTGTTCGGGCAACCCGCCGACCGCGGCCTTATAGAGCAGCTGCTTGAGGCAGGAGCGGACCGCGTGATGGTTCGCTTGGAAACCGCTCCAGAGGAAGAGTCCATCGCCGCTCTGGAGAGCATCGCTGAGACGGTGCTGTAAAGGGCTAGGATGTAAATTCGCTCTTCGACATGCTCACCTCCAGCAGGGTATTACGTTCAAATTCTCTGGAGGTGAGCATGTCGAGGGGCATGACTTGTCATACCGTTACCGTCCTCGCAGCAGCGGCAGCACCTTGTCACCAAACAGTTTCATCGACGCCTGCGCCTGCTGTGTGTCCATCTCGCCCGTGTTGAACTTCAGCATCATATTGCGGACACCGGCATCCTCCATTGCAGTAATCTCTTCGGCTACCTGCCTGGGCGTACCCATGATGAAAGACATGGGGAGATTTTCAGAGACCGATGACGTGCCGCTGCCCATCTGAGGGGGGCCGCCACCGGGGTTGTACAGACGGCGCGCTTCGCCGAAATGTCGTCGTTCGCGCGCGAAGCCGCGCTCAGCTGCTTCTCGCGCCTCGCCGTAGCTGTTCGCCACGAAGACATTCTCGACGCCCAACACTGATCAAGGGCACTCTCGGTCGCCTGCTCATCGAAGCCGGCTTCCAGCATGGTGTCGCGGTAGGCGCTCAGCCGAGCGGCGAGCGACTCCACCGGCATTATGCCCAGCATCACAGGCCTACCGATTTTCGCCATTGCGATGGTTGATGCCTCACTGATGCATGCGCGAACCAGGGGTGGGTGTGGCTTCTGATACGGGCGCGGGCGCAGCATCTGAAACTTCACTTGCCAGTGGTCTCCTTCGTGTTTGAATCGCGTCTCGGTCCACGCCCTCACGAGCAGCTCTTCGGACTCGTCGAGGCGCTCTATGCCGTCCTCCATGCTCATGCCGAAGCCGATGTATTCGTAGTGATTGAACGCCGAGCCGCGCCCCGTGCCGACGATCAGCCTACCGTGGCTCAGGTTGTCGAGCACGGAGGTCTGCGCCGCAAGGCGAATGGGATGGTGCATCGCAAGCTCAACGACGGCAAAGCCGATTTTCACGCGCTTAGTGCGCGCCGCCACCGCCGCGCCAAACACCAGTGGATCGGCATACGCAACTGCGCCGTCGAAGTGGTGCTCCGTAAGCCAGATTGCATCCAAGCCGATGCGCTCTGCCAGCTCAATCTCTTCGAGGGTGCTGTCTATGACCGCGCTGTCCTTATATGGATGGTGGCTTACCGGAAATACAAACGAACCGATTCTCATTGATGCCTCCGCCTGCCTTGATTTCAACCTGCCAAGTATATCGCACTTGCGTCTTGCCTTGCCCCCATGCTGAGAGTACACTTGGGGCATTCTCGCACTAGCAGCGTCAAGGAGCCTTCGATATGACAACTACCATCCCCGACAGCGAAGCCCTGCGCAGAGCTTCGTTGCGCTATCTATGGATGCACAACCGCGACTGGACGCAAATGGCGGAGGAGGGCGAGCCGCAGATTATCGAGAGCGGTCACGGCGTGCGCGTTACGGACTCCGAGGGCAAGTCTTGGATTGATGTCAATGGTGGCTACAACTCGGTCAACGCGGGTTACGGTCGTACCGAGATTGGCGAAGCCGCCTATGAGCAGATGGTCAACTTGCACTACTTTCCGCAAGGCACGACTACCGTTCCGATGGCGAAACTGGCGGCAAAGCTCGCCGAGATTACTCCCGGCACGCTATCGCGCGTGTTTCCGGTCAGCGGCGGCTCTGAGGCAAACGAGACTGCACTGAAAATCGCGCGCGCTTATCACAAGCGCATCGGTGAGCCGGGGCGCTACAAGGTCATTAGTCGGGTGGGTTCGTATCATGGCATGACGGCGGGCGTGTTATGGCTAGGCGGCAGTCCGTATCAGCCGCGCCACGACTACGAGCCAATTTACCCCGGAATTGTGCACGCTCCGCAGCCTAACGCTTACCGCTCCACTTGCGGCGGCGAGACTCCATCCGAATGCGCGGTGAAATGCGCCGAGGCGATAGAGCGGCTTATCGAGTTTCATGGACCGCAGACGGTCGCCGCCGTAATCGCGGAACCGGTGGCGATACCTCAAGGGGCGGTCGTTCCGAGCGACGAATACTGGCCCATGTTGCGGCAGATATGCGACAAGTACGGCGTGCTGCTGATCGCTGACGAGGTGATATGCGGCTTCGGACGAACCGGCAAGATGTTTGCCCTGGAGCATTGGGATGTTGTGCCTGACATTATGACGGTTGCGAAGGGCGTCGTGAGCAGCTATCTGCCGATGGCGGCTGCAATAGTAAAAGAAGAGGTCGCCGACGTATTCGCGGGCGAGCGCAACATTCTGCGCCATGTCTTCACTGCCGCAGGGCATCCCGTTGCGGCCGCGGCATCCCTGAAGAACATCGAGATAATCGAGAACGAAGACCTAGTGGAGAACTCCGCGCAGGTGGGCGCTTACTTCAAGGAGCAGCTGGAAGGGCTTGCCATCGATCATCCCCTCGTCGGCGATGTGCGAGGGATTGGATTGCTGCTTGCGGTGGAACTTGTTAGCGACCGTGACACAAAGGCTGGCTTCGCTGCCGACGCCAGAGTGCCGGAGCGCCTGAACGACAAATTCAAGCGGCAAGGGCTGATTTTCCGAATCAACAGCAACATCCTGAATATGGGGCCTCCGCTGTGCATCACGAAAGAAGAAGTGGACGAGATTGTGCATGCGATCGACATCTCTCTGTGGGAACTCGAAGGCGAGATGGGCATATCGCGCATGACCTAGGGGAGCAGTGCTGACAGGGCCCTTGGAATGGGCCTGCAACCGACACGCGGCAACACCGCACTATGGGGAGAGATATGGTAGTCACAAGCGACATGGATTCTGTCAGGCAGTCGGCGCTTGATCACCTTTGGATGCACAATTCCGACTGGATTACTATGGCCGAGGAAGGCGGGCCGTCCATAATGGTCAGTGGTGATGGCGTGCGCGTCACAGATTCCGAGGGCAAAGTGTGGATTGACGCGCACGGCGGATATGCCTCTGTAAACGCGGGTTACGGGCAAACAGGAATCGCCGATGCCATGCTGGAGCAGATGAAGAAGCTTACATATTTCCCGCAGGGCACAACGACGGTTCCGCTGATTCGACTTGTGGAAAAGCTGGGCGAACTTGCGCCCGCCAACCTGGAGCGCGTCTGGCCCGCCAGCGGCGGCTCAGAGGCGAACGAGACGGCGGTGAAGATTGCCAGGGCGTATCACAAGCGGCGCGGCGACAACGGGCGATATAAGGTAATCAGCAGGCGTGGATCGTATCACGGCGCGACTGGCGGCGTGATGTGGATGGGCGCGAGTGCCGGCCTAAGCGACTTCGAGCCGGCGATGCCAGGAATGCTTTACGCGCCTCAGCCTAACTTCTATCGCTGCGAATTCGATAGCAGCACACCCTCTGAGTGCGCCGAGCGCTCCGCCAAAGCAGTTGAAGACTTGATTTTGTTGCACAGCCCAGATACTGTGGCTGCCCTCATAGGAGAGCCGATTACATCAGCAGGCGGCGTGTCGGTTCCTTCAGACGAATACTGGCCGATGGTGCGCGAAATATGCGATCGCTACGGCGTGCTGCTTATCGCAGACGAGGTGGTCACGGGGTTCGGGCGCACGGGCAGGATGTTCGCAATGGAGCACTACGGCGTCGTTCCCGACATCATGACCATCGCCAAGGGCATAACGAGCAGCTACCTGCCGCTTGCCGCCACGATTTCGGCGACGTATGTCGCGGACGCATTCGCGGGCGAGGACAACGTCTTCCGGCAGGCCCTCACATTCGGCGGGCATCCGGTAACTGCCGCCGTTGCCCTCAAGAACATCGAGATTATCGAGCAGAATGACCTTGTGGGCAACTCGGAGCGCATGGGCGCGTACTTCCTGGAGCGGCTGGAGGAATTGAAAGGGCGGCATCCATCGGTTGGCGACGTGCGCGGAGTCGGTTTGCTGCTTGGATTGGAGTTGGTGAGAGATCGCGAAACCAAGGCGCCGTTCGACGACAGCCTCCAAGTAAGCAAACGCCTTACTGACAAAATGAGCGAGCGCGGCGTCATAATGCGTTTTAGCGGTGACAAGGTCACCATTGGGCCTCCGCTCTGTATCACCAAGGACGACATAGACGAAATCGTGAGCGCAATGGATAGCGCGATAGGCGAAATGGAGTCTGAGCTTTCCCTCCGCTAAACTGCCCGTTGGCAGGACAAACAATCTACTCTGCAAGTAGCTCACCTATGCGGCTGAAACTTGGTGGGATTCCCACTGACACGCCGTTCGGTTGACCCACTGGCGTTCACATTAGAATTGATCCCGGCATCACTGCCTCGTAGAACGCCCACTTCGTCGGTGGGAGTCATGAGAGAGAAAGTGGTGTGAAATAATTGTAGGCAGGAGTCGAAAGCTGCGTTAAGATTCAGCGGGCGCTTGGCAATGATTCGCAGGCTCTGACACTTTGTTTCTCCCTCATCTTCAGCTCCGATCTTTAGTGATACTCCTGTACAGTGAATTCATTGTTGCACCGACGCTCCCATCTTAGTCCTCTCCTTTGACTCTAGCGTCCCGTCGGTTGTGTTTCCGCTTGTGATTTTCTATACTAATATGCAGCCCTAAAGTGCCATTTAGCTGAAGTTGGATTGAGAGATAAAGACATTGCAGGTTGCGACGGAGTATGAAATTGTTATCGGCTTGGAAGTTCACTCGCAGCTTCTGACCGAAAGCAAGATGTTCTGCGCCTGTAGTGCTGCATACCAGGACTCTCCACCGAACACCACCGTCTGCGCGGTGTGCATGGGAATGCCGGGCGCGCTGCCCGTCATGAATCGCAAAGCTGTGGACTATGTGATTCGCACCGGTCTTGCTCTAGGTTGCGAAATTTCCACCTTAACTAAGTTTGACCGTAAGAATTACCCATACCCCGATTTGATGAAGGGTTATCAGATTTCCCAGTACGACCAGCCTGTCGCCTACGGTGGCTGTCTTGCAATAGACACCGACTCCGGTGAAAAGACCATAGGAGTTACGCGCGTTCACTTGGAAGAAGATGTAGCTAAATTGTTTCACAGGACGGACGATTTCGGCGAAAGTTACAGCCTGCTGGATGTCAACCGCGCCGGTGTACCCCTGATGGAAATCGTCAGCGAGCCAGACATGCGCAGTCCGGATGAGGCGCGTAGCTACCTCACGCAACTCCAAACCATCCTTCGCTATATTGGCGTCAGCAGCGCCAACATGGAAGAGGGCAATTTCCGCTGCGATGCCAACATAAGCGTGCGCCCGCGTGGAAGTTCGGAGCTTGGCGCGAAAGTCGAGATCAAGAATATGAACAGCTTCCGCGCTGTTCATCGAGCGCTGCAGCACGAAGCGGAGCGACAAGTCCGCGCGGTGAAAGAGGGTGAGCAAATTGTGCAGGAGACCCGGGGCTGGGACGAGGCCACTGGCACGACATTTACGCAGCGCACCAAAGAGTATGCCCACGATTATAGGTACTTCCCGGAGCCTGACCTCCCGCCACTTGTCATCGGCGAATGTTGGGTGTTGGATGCACGTCAAGCGCTGCCCTGAACTACCTGCCGCCCGCAAAGAGCGCTTCATCAACGAGTATGCTTTGTCGGACTATGACGCGAATCTCCTCACAGTTGGCAAAGGCACAGCCGACTATTTCGAGACGATAGTAGACGCAAAGAAAGTCTCGGTCGAAGCGCGGACGCAATTTGCCAAGCAGGTGAGCAATTGGATATTAGGTGAGCTAGGTAGATTGCTCAACGAGACGAATAGAGACATTAGCAGCGTCAAGATAACACCGCAGGCGTTCGTCGAACTATTGGATTTGGTTTCTGACGGTACACTTAGTAACAATATGGCAAAGTCGGTCTTCGAGCAGATGTTTGACAGCGGCAAAGCCCCGGCACAGATAGCCGAAGAGCAAGGTCTGATGCAGATTAGCGACACTGACGCTCTTGGCAGCGCGGTCGATGAAGCGATTGAGGCTAATCCCAAGGCGGTTTCCGAGTTTCTCGATGGCAAGGAGCAGGCGATCCGATTCCTTGTCGGGCAAGTGATGAGGATTACGAGAGGTAGCGCTAATCCGCAACTTGCGACGCAACTGCTGAAGGAGCGACTCGAAGCTGTTAGGCAGTCCGTATGAACGGAAGCTTTCGGCGCAACGGGACTGGCTATGCCGTCAATGGGCATCGGCGTGGCAATGCGTGGTTCGATATTCTGAAACTCGCTACTCCTGGCATCGGGTTGAAGCGCTGGATGCTTCTAGGGGCGCTTGGCATGCTTATGTGCTTGCTGGGGCTGGTGTATGTATTCATTGAGTTTATTACGCTTCACCCCCCGGATATGCTGCCTCTCTTTCTTGAGGGCGTGCTCTTACTCGGCGGCGGCGGTCTGGTCATTTATCTGGCTATGTTCGGCCTATACAGGTCAGTGGGACCGCTTATCCTCGACTCGGCGACAATCGATGGCATCGCAAATACTATCTACACCCGACGATCACTCTCAAGAGGACCGCGAATCGTGGCGATTGGCGGTGGCACCGGACTTTCCGTCTTACTCCGTGGACTAAAGTCATACACCGATAACTTAACGGCGATAGTGACGGTGGGGGACGATGGAGGGAGTTCAGGTCGCCTGCGTGAAGAGTTGGGCGTACTACCGCCGGGTGACTTCCGTAATTGTCTGGTTGCCATGTCCGATGCAGAATCGCTTGTGACCGAGTTATTCCAGTACAGATTTGAACAGGGCGATTGCCTTAAAGGGCACAGCTTCGGCAATCTCTTCATTGCGGCGATGACCAGCGTCACGGAGAGTTTTGACAGGGCGCTAATTGAATCCAGTAGAGTTCTGGCAGTACATGGCAGGATAATACCTGCGACGATGGCGAACCTGCGGTTGTCAGTGAAATTGGAGAATGGCGATGTCATTCATGGCGAGTCTAAGGTTGCCGGCGCGCGTGGCGGGATCGAACAGCTAATGATCGATCCGCCCAATGCTGTTGCCCACACGATGGCGGTAGAGGCCCTACAAGACGCTCAGCTCATCGTAATAGGTCCGGGGAGCCTGTACACGAGCATCCTGCCCAACCTTATGGTGACGGGGATTGCAAACGCCATTGCAGAGTCCTCCGCCAATAAGGTGTATGTGGCTAACATAGCCACACAGCAGGGTGAAACCGAAGGTTATTCTGTGATCGACCATCACAATGCGCTAACCAAGCATACCTTCCCAGACATCGTTGACCATGTGATCGCCAACGAAAATCCGCAGGAACTGGGGCCGAACTTTTTCGGTACTCCGGTGCGCTACAACGGAGAGCAACTGAAGACGGCGCGCCTGCATCTGGAAGACCTCACAGACGCTTCCCATCCCGTTCGGCACGACTCAGAAAAGCTGGCGAGGTTCATAATGGAAGTGTATCATAAGGGCAACAAGCCAAGATCGCTCGTCAGTCTGGTGATGAACCTAACAACATCCTTGCGGTAGTTGAGCGGCTAAGAAGGGACGCAATGGCCTGGTTAAACATAGTTCAGATTGCAATATCGATTATCCTTGTCGTGATTATCCTCTTGCAGGTGAGGGGACAGGGAACCGGCTTATTTGGAGCAGCGGAGGGTTCCTTCCGCACGAGGCGCGGGGTTGAACGCGTCCTTTTCCAGTTCACAATCTTCATGGTTGTGGTCTTCATAGCAGTATCGATTTTGAGCGTTAGGTTCACGTCTTAAGAACCCCGTTGTCCCATCCGTATTGGCGCCCTCAACATATTCTCAACCCAGCAGTTTACCCGGGTTCAGGATATTGCCGGGGTCTACAGTCCGCTTGATGCGTCTCATCACGTCCATGCCACTTCCATGTTCAGCCTCCATCAGGTGAGCAAGCTTTAGTCCGACTCCGTGGCAATACTCCATAGATCCCCCTAATTGCTGCGCCAGAGTGAGCACTTCATCAACGATTCGTCCCATATCTAACGAAGCGGTAGAGTCCTCATCACGCTCCTGTACGATGAGAAAGGAAAAGAACTCAGGGCGTGCCCACACGGACCACTCTCTGACATGTATGCCATTGTCGGCGAATAGGCGCATGCACGCTCTTCGATACTCCAATACCCGTGATATGGGCAGAGCGACGTGCAAATAATCTATGCGAAGCGATGATGCTCCGCGCCGCGCCTTGGCCGGATCGCTGCTCTCCAGAACGTTGCGCTTGTATCGCTCTCCGGGCGCGTGGCGGGTATTCCAAAATTGTGCCGATTCTTCACGGGAACCCTGGCGTCCATCGTAACGGCGGCAGATGTCCAATGCTCTCGCCCACTGCGCCTGAACATCTTCCTTGAATCCTTCAAATGCTATGTACAATGTAGCTGTGTCATTGCTTTCTGCTTGTGCGTTGGTGTTGGATTCAGTGCCGAAGTCAATCATAGTGGGGTGTACGCCTTCGGCATACAGACGGCAGATAGCTTCGAAACCCGCTTCAAATGTCGAGAAATCCACGCCGGCGACAAGCCGCTCTTCCGGTTGAGGAAAGACCCGGAGTGTAGCTTCGGTGACAATGCCGAAAGTCCCTTCTGCGCCGATGAGCAAGTGGTTCACGGACAAACCGTTGGTTGATTTTTCGCTTGCGCGCGTCCGAATTATCTCGCCGTCGGCAAGCACAGCTTCTATGCCAAGCACTTGCTCTCCCATGGAGCCGTGACGGGCGGCCGTGTACCCTACGCCATCGGTGGATATTGCGCCTCCCACAGTGGCTATCGGCCGGCTCCACGGATCATGGCCAAGCAGCATGCTGGCGCCGTTTAGCGATTGGGCGGCATCCTCAAGCACAACGCCCGACTGGAAACACGCCGTAAAGTCCACTGAGGACACATTGAGCACGGCGTTCATTCGGTCCAAACTAAGCACGATGCCGTCTTCTATCGGAGACGCCGCGCCGAAAACCCCGCTGCCGCCTCCATAGGGTACGACAGGCACTTGGTATTTCTGCGCGTATCTCAGGATGCGAGAGACTTGCTGAGTGCTAGCGGGCCGGACTACCGCCTTCGGGGTTGCATTCAGACGAGATGCAAATCGGTGTGCTCGGAAACTGCCTAGGGCATCGCCTACATAGCGACTCATTCTGTCGGGCTGATCGGTGACGCCTTCGGAGCCGACGATTCGCTCCAAGTCTGCCAATAGCCCATTGCCCATGCGAAGTGCTGCTCCGGTAACGCTGGTCTATTGTGTCCTGTGCCGCCACTCGGTGCCGCTGCTGGAGTCTTCTAGGCTAACCCCCAACTCGGCAAGTTCGTCGCGAATCTTGTCAGCAAGAGCGAATTGCCTTGCTCCGCGCAACTCAGTGCGAATGTTTATGAGAAGCTCCACGAATGGGGCAATGTCCCCGTCCGCGCTGGAATCGGGCTCATCGAGGTCTATGCCAAGGACACCGACCAGCTCTAGAAGAGTTTGCTGAGCGTCTGTAACGTCGAAGCCTTGTTCTGTAGCACGATTGATCTCTCTCGAAAGGTCGAAGATTGAAGCAAGTGCCCTTGGAGTATTGAAATCGTCGTCCATCGCTTCCATGAACTGGTGCTTGTAGGCGGACGCGTCAAGGGACTCGCCATCGTCAACCTGTTGATTGGGAGAAGCTGCGTTTCTGATGCGCTCTATAGCGCGCTCCTGAGCCATGATATTCTGGTCGCTGTAAACAAGCGGATTGCGGTAGTGAGAACTCAGGAAGAACAATCGCAACGCTGACGAAGAGAATCGGCTAAGCGCCTCACCAACGGTAATAACATTGCCGATAGACTTACTCATCTTGTCTTCGTTAATGCTAAGCAATCCGTTGTGGAGCCAGAAACGGGCGAATGGCTGCTGCTGGCTGAAGGACTCGCTCTGGGCAATCTCGTTCTCGTGATGAGGGAATATAAGGTCTTGCCCGCCACCGTGAATGTCAACGCCCTCCTCAAGATAGCGCATCGACATGGCGCTGCACTCGATATGCCAGCCCGGCCTTCCCGCTCCCCAGGGGCTGTCCCAGGCAGGTTCGCCGGGCTTTCGCGACTTCCACAGAGCGAAATCCCTAGGGTCTTCCTTCGCCTCGTCCACTTCCACGCCGCGCGCCTGCCAGAAGGTCTTCCGCGCTCCTCCGGCTGAGCTTTCCGTAGTCGGCGCTGCGACCTACCCTGAAATACACGTCACCATCTACAGAGTAGGCGTAACCCTGCTTTTCAAGAGACTGGATCATTCCTACGATCGCCGGAATTTCGGTCGTGGCTCTGGGATAGGTGTGAGCGCGCAGAACGTTTAAGGCGTCCATCTCTTCGTGGTACTGCCGAATGTTGGTCTCAGCAAGTTCATCAGTCGAGACGCCGCTGGCGTTGGCTGCGGTTATTATCTTGTCGTCAACATCGGTAAAGTTTTGAATGTGTGTGACAGCGAGCCCCTTGTATTCAAGGTAACGCCTCACGACATCAAAAACGACCGACATCATAGCGTGTCCAATGTGGGAGGGTGCGTAGGGGGTAATGCCGCACACATACATCCGGACTTTGCCATCGGGAGTAGTGAACTCCTCTTTACTGCCGGAGAGTGTATTGTAGAGTTTCATGTTATTCGTTCAATAGTTGCTATCGCCAAAGTGCCAATGCCTTCACCGCGCCCGATAAATCCCAAACCGTCGGTTGTTGTCGCCTTGACGCTTACGCAGTCTTCTGTCAGTTGTAATATGGCGGCGAGCGACTCGCGTATGCTGCCCATGTGGGGCTTCAGGGATTGGGCGTTCGGCGAGTATTGTAGCATCAACGAAGGTAACGCGCCAACGATTACTCCTCAGCAGTTCAAGAGTAATGTGAAGCAGTTTACCACTGGCAACACCCTTGTATCTGTCGTCGCCCGGCGGGAAGTGCGTTCCGATGTCGCCGAGCGCGGCCGCGCCCAGTATTGCGTCTATCACTGCGTGAATCAGTCCGTCCCCATCGCTGTGGCCAGCAAGCCCTTTCTCGAAAGGAATCGTAATCCCTCCAAGTACAAGTGCGCGTCCTTGAACCAATGGGTGTACGTCGAAGCCAATGCCGGAGCGGACTGTCATTCTCGATGCTCGCGACTCGTATTGGCTCTGCGATTCATAATGGCGTCGGCTATCGCTAGGTCTTCGGGAGTAGTTATCTTGATGTTGGAGTATGAGCCGAAGAACAGTTTAACCGGATGTCCAATCGCTTCCACCATAGAAGCGTCATCTGTAACGATGTCCTGCACAAGACTGTGCGCCTTTCTGAGCAGCGATGTTCTGAATATCTGCGGTGTCTGTACTGACCAGAGCCGATCTCGTGGTATGGTTCGCACAACAACGCCCTCTTCGTCAGATTCCTTGATGGTGTCCTTAACTGGGACGGCAGCGGTTGCGGCGCCGGTAAGACTCGCCATTGATATGCCCCTGTCAAGCAGTTCCGATGTAATGAAAGGGCGCGCGCCATCGTGTACCACAACTAGGTCGCAATCGCCGAGCCGTTCCAGGCCTTGCCGCACGGAGTCCTGCCTGCGTTCGCCGCCCTCACACACTATGACAGAGTTGGTAAATCCATTGTCGCTCAAGAGCGTATTCATCTGAAGGATTCTGCCTCTTGAGGTGACTAGGACGATTTCGCATATCTGCGGGTGTGCCGATAACGCTGAGATACTATGCCAGATAAGCGGCAATTCGCTTAGAGGGTATAGAATCTTGTCGATGCCGTCCATGCGCCGGCTCTCCCCGGCTGCGACAATTACGGCACCCACGCGCGGGCCATCTGTCTGTATTTCGCAGGACATGCTCATCAGTGGTATCCTGTCATTCATCGATTCGGCGTAAGAATAGCATTTGGAATGTCGTGAAGTCCATCAAGTCCTTTGCTGCAAGCTCCCCTCGTCTCTTCAAAGTGTTCATAACTGTCTTTGCGATTGGCGCAGCGACGCTTCTTCTGTCCTTCACGCCTCAAGTCAGGGCGACGATACGCGCGCTTGGATTCGTTCCCCAAGTATTGCCCAATGTCCGGCTAAACCTGCCGAATGGTTTACAGATACACCTGAACGAAAGGAAGTCACTTACCCCCTACGAGATGGCGGAACAGGCACGGCCGACCTCTACGTGCCGGCAGGCGGCGGAGAGCACAGCGCGATTATGTTTTTTCTGGGAGTCAACCCCGCCGGAAAGAACGACGAACGCGTAGTCAATGTCGCTAATGCTATAGCGAGATCAGGCATCGTTGTAATGATTCCGTGGTCGGAACGTATGGCGGAAAGGCGTGTGGACGGACCAGGAAGTAGATGACCTAGTGCGAGGTTTCGAGTATTTACGTGCGCTTGAAATGGTTGACAGCAGCAGGGTAGGGATGGCAGGTTTCTGCGTCGGAGCCTCTCTAATTATGGTTGCTGCCCAAGACGAGCGCATCAGGGAAGACGTTAGGGTAGTCAACTCATTCGGCGGATACTACGACGCCCAGGATCTGATAGCCTCAGTCGTCTCAGGGCGCCGCTTCTATGATGGAGAGACCAGACCTTGGGAGCCCGACACACTGAGCAAAGAGGTCGTGCAAATACATCTGCTGGAATCGGTAGACGACGCTGTTGAACGTGCCCTACTGCTCGAGACGCTTGAACAGGGCACGGACGCTCCGGACAATCTCTCCGATAATGCAATTGTTGTGCATGAATTGCTGAGTTCACCCGACCTCGAAACGGCATATCGGCTACTAGGGCGTTTGCCGCCAGAATCCCTTGAGACGCTGAGACGCATATCGCCCAGCACTAACATCGGCGATCTGCACGCAAAGGTGTTGGCGATGCATGACCGCGAAGACAAGCTAGTGCCGTCGGAAGAGTCGCGCCGTCTAGTGGACGCTTTGGAGTCGCGCGGAGGCATCCACTATACCGAGTTCTCGTTCTTCGACCATCTTGACCCGACGCGCCCAGTTGGACGAGTGGAATTCGCTAAGGAGGGCTTCAAGCTGTTTTTGCACATGTATAGGATAATGCGGGAACTCAGTTGATGCGTGGAATTGAGAGGGTGTAATCGTCGGGGCAACTCTACTATGTCAAGCTTAAGTGTGTTGCCAAGCATGATAGTATAGGTAAATACACCGACACTGCACGGGGACATTCGTTGATATGGGCAGAAACTATTGGATGGTCTCAACTACATTAGATGATTTTCACGTTACGCAAGATAAGGGCTACAGTATCTTCGGCATGGGGGCAAAATACCGCCGCCGGGCACAGCGAATGCAGCCTGACGATCGCATGCTTCTATATGTAAGACAACTTCGCAAGTGGACTGGCGTGGTTTGCGTAACATCGGGATATTTCGAGGATCGCACACCTATATGGAACGTGGGAACACGCGGTGAGAACTACCCATATAGAGTGAGAATCAAGCCTGAGATAGTACTTCGGGAAGAAGACTATATTGATGCCTTGTTGCTGGCGCCAAGGATGGAGTACGTGAAGCGTTGGCTGCCGGAAAGTTGGCCGCTCGCGTTCTTCGACACACTACACCTTATCCCACAGAGAGACTTCAGCTTGATTGAAGGTGAGATGAAGCGCGTTGTCGCCAACAACAGCAGGCGCCACACCCGCCGGAAGTCTCATACCGGGGACGACTCGGCCGCCATTGACGATGCGCCCACGCTCGATGTGAGTAACAGTCGTGACATCGCGTAACGCAATGACGTAAGTCCCAGACAAGCATATTCGGGATACTCATTAAACGAGAAGCGGCGTCCTCCAATTTCCGAAAATATACGATCGGAAAGGTCGCGTAATCCTTCGAGATTGCGCCCCGAACGGGTTGATTGGCGCTTCTTTAGCTAGTCAGCTACAGTTTCCGCGGCCTGTGCAACTAAGAAGTTCTCGTCATAAAGTTCGTTCAATTGGTCGAGAAACTCCTGTGGAATGTCCTCTGTCTCCGATGCAGCGGCGAACTCTGTCAGCTGCGGTATGTTGGTGATATTTGGAAGCACGGACGCAACCATGTCCTCAGATAGCGCGAACTTGATGGCGATCTGTCCAATGGTGGCATCCATATTTTCCATCAGGAAATCTAAGTGGGCGATCTTGGCGAGCGAAGTATTCAGCCATTCCTGTCTGCGGTGGCTGCGATGGTCGCTGGCTTCGAAAACCGTATCCTTAGTGTAGGTGCCATCCAGCATTCCGGATGCATGCGGCACTCGTGTGATCAGGCCTGTCTTCCGTTCCCGCGCCAGTGGGAACCAAGCTCGCGCCGGGTCCTGCTCAAGGATGCTGTAGATTATCTGCATCACCTGAGCATCGCGATATTCGACGGCCGCCGTCCCTTCTTCCTCCCATCCTATATCAGGGCCGATCGCAAACCCGTAGTGAAGTATTTTCCCCTCTTTCACTAGTTCGTCAAGCGTGTCGAACAACTCGTCGTCCTCTATAGCGTCCATCTTGGGGTTGTGGAGCTGATAGAGGTCAATGTAATCGGTATCGAGACGCCGTAGACTCTGCTCGCAGGCATATCGCACGAAACCCGGTGTCCACTTCTGTGGGCGTTCCTGGTGTCCTTCGCGGACGACATAAGTGTAGAAGTCATAGCCGAACTTGGTTCCGATGACGATGTCGTGCCGCTGCTGCTTCAAGGCCTTGGCGAGTATCTCCTCACCATAGCCTTCCCCGTATGTATCGCCTGTGTCGAAAAAGTTGACGCCGAGGTCGAAAGCCTGCCTGAGCAGATTAATGCCCTGCGGCTCTTCAATCTTGCCCCACCAGCTAGTTCCAACTGTCCACACTCCGAAGCCGACTTCGGAAACACTGAGGTCCGTATTACCAAGTTGTCTGTATTTCAAAGAACACTGCCTCTAAATTTGTGAATGGGTTATGTGAATTCAGGAGCGTCCGTCAGTCGAACTACGCTACAGGTGCTTTCGCATCCAATGCCTGGCGGATGACTCTCGCCTGTGCTTCGTATGAATCATCGTCTAACACTGGCGTCATATCGCCCAGTGGCACATTCTGACCTAACTCTACCCAGGACTTGCAGCCGCCGTATTCATCGAGGACGGTGAGCGACTGCGGTTGCCGCATGACATAAACGCGCAAGAGCGCGACAGTCAAGGGTTGCTTGGGACGCCAATGCAGGCGTTTGCTTGCGTAGTCGGTTGTCCATATGTGGTGTGGGGCTATGTTGTCCAGCAAATCCTGGTCGCTGACTTCAAACTTGTCGGTTACCTCGCACCAGTAATCAAATGTGATCTCACCTGGATTCCCATGCTCTAAAAGACTTTGCTCAAAGTCGTCGTGGCTTCCTGACTTTAAAAGGTCGCCGCGTTGGTGTTCGAATGTCGGATACAGCAGAAAAGCAGGATGCACGACACGAAACTCTTTGTCCTCTATGTGGATCCCGCCCTTACGGAGGATGAGAATCTGCTCGCCTTTGGCAAGCGCTTTGACTGCGACCGCCCACTCTTTCAGAGCTAGGCCGGAAGTGGTTGGTAGCGGCATTAGTGTAACACCTCTGAACTTGAAAGTAGTAATTTCACACGAGATTGTAGCGTAAGCTGAAATCGCAAAGGGAACAGATCGATAGTCCGTGAAACGACTGATCAGACGCCGAGTATTTCCGCGTTCAAGTCAAAGCGCGACTGATCGTTGCGCAGAAATTCCAAGAAGGCACTTTGGGCAGCAGACAAGTACTTATCATCGCGATAGAACACCGACAACTGCCTGTGGCACTCCCAACGGGACACCTGCAATACTTTAATCATGCCGGCGGCGACATCGGGTGTAACGGAGAATTCTGATAGGACGCCCAGACCTAAACCGGCCGCAACGGCGCGCTTAATGGCTTCATTGCTGCCTAGCTCCATGGTAACTTGAGGTTCTATATTGCGTGCGTTTAGAAGCACCTCAGCAGTTTTCCGGGTTGCTGAACCCGGCTCCCGCATAATGAAATCGTGCTTCCTTAATTCTCTGATGCTGATCTTTTCCTGTTGAGCCAAAGGATGATTAGGTGCCGATATGACAACAATGTTGTCCTGTATATACGGAAAAGATGCCAACCCTTTGATATTGACAGGAGACCCTGCCATTCCCAGATCGAGTTCATGGGCATATATCTGGTCGATGACCGACTGCGTGTTTGCAATGGTCATAGATACTTGGATGCCAGCGTGCTCTCTCCTGAACTTACCAATCAGCCAAGGCAAAATATACTCACCCGGTGTGGTTGACGAGCCAATGGTTAGCTTGCCTGAGTGAAGGCCTTGGATGTCCTGCACAACACTGTGCATCTCCTCAGCAAGGGCAAATATGCGCTGCGTGTAGCTGAAAACAGCTTCACCTGTTTCGGTTAGCCGTAATTCGCGCCGCATGCGATGCAGCAACGAAGTGCCTAGCGAGTTCTCAAGTTCGCGTACTTGAATTGACACCGCTGGCTGACTGATGGAAAGTTCCTGCGCTGCTTTGGAGAAGCTTTGCAGACGCGCCACCTTGAAGAAGATATAAAGCTGGTGGAAATTAGTTGAATTCATAAGTCAAAGGTTATAACCTTCATAAGCGTCTGTACAAGTCATTATACACTAACTTGAAGCATAGCGCATCGGCGGAATCCGTGACAGTGTCGCTATTTGCCTCACCTTTGTGCGCAATACTTTCCTAGAGCAGAATAGAGATTACTAATTGTTGAACAGAGCAATTCGCGCAGCACTCTTGAATGGTAGCCTTTACAGGGACCTAACCGATGAGCCACAGGAGATTTTCTACGCTCTGGGTATAGTTGTCGTGTCCGGTCTTGCTCTGGGATTGGGCCTGCAGAGCCAGCCTCCCGTCACGCTGCAGGAGTCACCTCCCTGGGTAATCCTTCTGCTTTCCGCTTACACTCGACTAGCCGGCTGGTTCATGTGGGCGGGAATTGTTTATATCGTAGGCACTAAGCTGTTAGGCGGGCAGGCTGGGTTTCGTCAAATTCTCAGAAGTCTCGGGATGACATTTGCGCCCGGAGCGTTTGCAGTGTTCGCTGGAATCCCGGTCGTGGGTATATTCTTTCTGTCCTTCTCAGCATTGTGGATGTTCCCCGCGGGTTGGGTTGCCATCCGTGAAACGCAGCAATTCGATTGGGTACGAGCATTCATTTGCGCCGCGCTTGGATGGCTAGTGGGCATTTTCGGGCTAATGGTGTTGTTTCTGCCGATACAGCCGGGCGTTTAAGTTCGAAGATTATACCTTGACATGCCTCTGCACAACTTCCCAACGCTCGGCCAGCAGGCTGCGTATATTGCGGGATGTGGCATCCTCTATTTCTTCGACTGACGTCTCTTGCAACTCAGCTAGACGTTCGGCTATGACGCGCGTATGGCGAGGTTCCGTCCAGTTTTCGCGCCTTGCCTTGAATGGGCTGTGGGGCAGCGTCTGTTTCAAGCACGATGTGATCGAGCGAAATAGCGGCTGCGACCTCTTGCAGGTATGTGTAGCGCAACAGCGGGCGTGCCAGTGAAATGTAGAAGCCTAAATCTATGGCGCGTTTGGCAGTGTTGAGATCACCTTGAAAGTAGTGCATCACGCCGCCGACTTCGAATGCCCGCTCCTCTCGCAGTATCCGAAATACTTCGTCGTGTGCCTCTCGGCTGTGGAAGACGATTGGGTAACGCAGTTCCCTTGCAAGCCGAATCTGCTCACGGAATGCAGTGTACTGCACGGCTCTGTCGGGCGCGCCTTCCATGAAGTCCAGCCCTATCTCGCTGATAACGAGCACTTTTTCGTTCGATACGGCGAGTTGTTTCAGCTGAGCGTAAGTTGCATCATCAAAAGGCTCTCTGATGTCCATTGGGTGAATGCCGACGCCAGAGAAGAAATCAGGGAACTTCGCAGACAGGGATATCGAGCGTTCTGAGGATGGGACGGTGGTTCCGGCAGAAATAACGAAGGCGACACCCGCGTCGCGTCCGCGCCCCAACACCTCAGAGACTTCTTCGTCTGAGTAGGAATCCAGATGTACATGGCAGTCTATAAGCATCTGATCACTTATCTCCGTGTATCCAATGTGTTAGTCTCACATTCGGCATTATACAAAACCCCGTTCAACAGGGTAACTTCCTGCTGCATAATCAGTAGATTTGAGCAGAGTTTCAAATTGTTTATTCGTGTCCAAATTGGGTTTTTGGCGCTCTTCATCTGCATGTTGCTGGGGGTATCGCTCATCGCATGCTCGGACGATGATGTTGCGCCTCCGCCCGCCGCAACGTCGCTTCCACCTAGCACTCCATCACCGCCGACTCCAGTACCCACGCCAATACCGGCACAGTCAGTTCCTGTGCCAGTATCTGGGTCGCGGAACGGATTCGGGACCAACGCCCACAGCCTCGGTTCACACCGCCGCCGCCGCACAGCGGTACCTACACTGGCGCCTTCAGTTCCCACACCTTCCATTACGCAGTCACCGGCGAGACCAGAAAGTGGGAGCGAAGACAATCGAGGGGGCACACTGAATCTTGTGAACCGCCAAGCGGTGCAGCATGAGGATGTGCATCGCGATGTTTCAGAGGCATTGGCGGCGTGGGGACCCGGAATTGCTTACAGCAGGTTGATGCGCTTTCAGAGTGGAGCTGATGTTGAACTGCCCAGTCTGGAATCGAGTGCGAGATTTGCAGCGGATGGACGATGGTTGACGGCACTACATTCGAGTTTGGACTGCGTGGGGATGTGATGTGGCAGGACTTGGCTCCGGTCAATGGGCGGAGTGTTGTGGCAGGTGACATATTGTACAGCTATGAGCGGCAGCGGTCGGAGGGGGCACCGAATGGCGCGCTGCTCCACATCGTGGATACGATAGCCGCGCCTGCGGAAAATCTGCTGCGAGTTACCCTTCTTGCCCCGGACGCTGACATTCTCGCGGCGCTTGCCGACGGGCACTCCAAGATTGTCGCGCGGGAAGCAGTTGAGCTTTCTGGCGACTTGCTTAATGGTCCCACGGTAGGCTCTGGGCCATGGGTCTTCGAGGAAGTGCACGAAGGAATGGCCTTTACATTCCGGCGCAATGAGAACTACTTCGAGGAGGGGGCGCCGCGGCTAGACCGGCTTCGCATACACACGATTCCTGACGGCAATACGGCGTACGCGGCCTTTCGGGTGAACAATGTGGATGTACTTCAGCTGCAGCCCGCGGAGTGGGACGAGTTCAGGCAACAGAAGCCGGACGCTTCTATGCTAGCATTCCAAGAGATTGGGCAGAGGGCTGGAAGTAGCATTCAAGGTCAGCAATCCTCCATTCGATGATGTGAGGGTGCGGAGCGCGGCAATGCTGGCGATGCGCCCTGATCGTGCAATCGAAGAGGTATGGGGTGGCGGCGCGTATCTGACGCAGGGGGTGCCGCTGGGCAGGGCGAGCTGGTACTTGGGTGAGGACGAGCTTTCGGGATACTTCGATGACCACTCGCGCGCTACGGCGCTGCTCGCAGAAGCGATGGATACACTGCCGGTACCAGTGTCGGTTCAAGTGGGGGACTTTGGCGCGGAGTATCGCATGCATGCGGAGCGGATTGCCGAGGAGATGGGAAGCGTGGGATTTGCGCCGGAGCTGGAGATTGTGGACCGGCGGCGGTTCGGGGAACAGGTGTGGTTTGGCGGGGAGTACGAGATGTTGTGGGGCCCATGGCGCCGGTGGCGTCGCCGAACGCATATATGCTGGCGGTGTTGAGCAGCGAGGGGGCGTGGAGTACGACAGAGCATAAGGATGAGGCGCTGGATGCGCTGATACTGGCGCAGGCGGGGGAGTATGAGCCGGAGGAGCGGCGGCGGCTTGTGGTGGAGGCGCAGCGGCTTGCGCTGGAGAATGCCTACCGGTTTATGCCGGCGGCGGCGGTGTCGCTGTGGGCCTGGTGGCCGAATGTGAAGGGGCTGGAGCCGAACTTCGCGGGGTCGGAGTATTCGCACTGGGCGCGGGTGTGGCTGGAGGAGTAGGGTGCGAGTTGGTCAGGCGTCCGATTCGTCGGTACCCTGGCTCTGGCTGCGGAGGAAGTTTTCGAGTTCCTGTACCATCGTTTCGGAGCTGGGGATTTCTTCGGTTGCGGTGCGGGCTTCGTCGTAGCGGCGTTCGAGGCGTCGGACGTAGCTGCTGACGTCGGGCTGCTTGGCGATGACCTTATCGACCTCTTCCTGATAGGTGTTGCCGGCGATGTACAATTCTTCTAGGTCAATGTCTATGTCGATGAGGCTGCGGAGACGGGTGAGCAGGGCGTGGCTGACCTTTGGGTCGGGGGATGTGTTGACATAGTGCGGGCAGTGTCCCCAGATGCTTGCCTGTGACATGCCTGACTGAGTGCAGGCGTCCATGAAGGCGGTGTGTATGCCGGTGGGTCCCTGGTAGCCGGAGTTCTTGATGCCGAGCCATTCGGCTTTCTGCGTTAGTTCGATCGAGCTTGCTCTGCCCGTTACGCGGGGTTCGCGGGTGTGGGGCACGGCGTCCAGCAGGGCGCCCAATGACACGATCAGATCGACTTCGTGTCGTTGCGCCATGCTCGTCAGGATGTGGGAGTAGGTCCGCCACTTGAGGTTGGGTTCGGTGCCGATGAATATCAGCAGGGAGCGGGACTCGTCTCGGGCTGATAGTAGTAGAGGTCGTTCTGGGGCCAGCGCGTGGTTCGCTCGCCGCGCCGATTGACGCGGGAATGAGGTCGGACGTGAGTGAAGTCGTAGAACTCTTCGGGGTCTATTTCGGCGAATTTTGTTGCGCGCAACTTACGGACGAGGAAGCGCAATGCCCTGGTTGCGGCTTCGGCGGCATCGGGCCAGCCGGCGAAGGCGACGAGCATCGTGGGCAGTTTACCCTGCGGAATTTCGTGTTCGATCAAGCCGTCCATAAGCATATCCTTGCCAGTGATGTCTTGTATTTTACATCAATAGCAGGGGCATGCCAAACGAGGAGTCAGCATTTAGTGGTCGGCGATCAGCCGTCAGTTGTCAGACCGGGGCTAACATTGATGCACATGATAGATAGGATGGTAGGGATTTATCACCCCCATCCTAACCTTCCCCCGTCAAGGGGGAAGGGACTTTATTCTTGCCCTCACCCTAGCCCTCTCCCTCAGGGAGAGGGGACTTTGAGGTTATGGGCTGCGGATGGTGGGATTTTTGCGCTTGGCGGCGAGTGGGTTGGGGAGGATGGGGGTGTTGTGGGCGGCGGCGGCATCGGCGAGCTTCTTGAGAGGGTCTGATTTGGCTTTCTGCGTGGGGATGCCTGAGAAATCTGCGATTTCTTCTTCGGTAAGCCGTGTTCGCGTCTGTCTTCTTTGTCGAACTTTGCCTGCTCTTCGGGGTTTAGGGGTTCGAAGTAGTAGTCGATTGTGGGGTCGGGGTCGTTGGGGCCGTAGTCGTAGATGTTCTTTTCTGGTTGTCGTCTATGCGGCGGTACTTTGCCTCTGCTCGGAGGGCTGCCGCTCGTCGCCCCTGTCCATCGCTTCCTTGAACTCTTTGATGATTGATTTGCGGTCGGCGGTGGGTTCGTTCTCTGATTTACTCAGGGGCAGGGTCTTCGGTGGGGTTGGGATGGACGGGGATTGGTTTCTATTGCCCTCACCCCAACCCTCTCCCTGAGGGGAGAGGGGAGCTTTGTGTGGCTGGCGCCTGTCTTGGCTGGCTGCGGTCTCAGATCCTGCTTTCGGAGGATGGTAGAAGATGGACGGTCTCTTGGAACGAAGAGGCTTTGAGTTCGTCTCGGTCTTCTTCTTCTCTCATCTCTTGGCTATGGCTTCGTAGTCGGTGTCGTCGTAGTTGTCGTAGTCGTCGATGGTGGTTGAGAGGCCGGCCTGGGTCTTCTTCTGGCCTATGGAGAGACGCGGGGATTCCTTGTCGCGCCAGTAGTCCTGAGGTGCTTAGGCTTGATGTTGTCGTAGTTGGTGTCCCAGCCACGGCGCAGAAGCTCCTGTGCCGCTGACATACGGTGATGGATGGTGAACTCTAGGTCAGGGTCGGGGTCAGACATTACTTCGAGCAGGAAGCGGACGGTGTCTGTGCCGCGCTCGCTGTACTCGCGCATTCGCTCTGGCGAGGTCTGTGTGCAGGGTGTCGTAGGCGTTTGCTTCGTCGTTGGTGTCTGACTGCTTGCGGCGTGAGCCGAGGTCGCCGAAGCCGCGACGCAGGAGTTCTCTTGCGGCTGCCATGCGGTCTGCGGGCTTGATGCGGAACTTCTGGGGTGAAGGGCCTGTCCCTGCCGGTCATGATGTGAATGAGAAACTCTACGAGGGTGTGACCTTCGGCGGTCTCGTGGCGGATGAGGTGGGCTATTTGGTAGTTGAGGATGTCGAGGTGGGTTACGGGGCTGACATATCTCTTCTCCCCTCACCCAGCCTCTCCCCTGTGGGAGAGGGGACTTTGGACGGGGGTTTCGTCGCCGCCCTGCCCTCTGGATTCCCGCCTGCGCGGGAAAGACGGTCAGAGGTGGTTTCGCAGTCGTGTCGGGGAAGCCGTACTTGATGAGGTGCTTTGTTGCTTCCATTCGGTGGCAGACTTTGACGCCGGGTGTTTCGCCTTGCATTGTGTCGACAAGGAACTTGGCGATGGCGTGTCCCTCCTCGGTGAGGTGACGATGTTTCTGTTGTAGTTTGGTCGGGATGCACATAGGCGTTAGTCTTCAGCTATCAGTTCGCAGTTGTCAGTGATATGATTCGATGGGCTTATAGCGAATATACGTTCGTTGCCTTAGTCTCTATTATGCGTACGAATGTTTGGCTTGTCAAGAGGGAAATCTGGTGAATCTTACCGTTGGCTTGTGCTGTGGCTTTGCGGAATGTGCGGTCTGTGGGGCGAACTGTTCGTCGTAAGTCGCTTGTACAGATCGCATCTTACTAGGAGTACTTCGTGACTTCCTGAGTCAACTAGCTTGCCTTCGTCGAGGACGATGACGGAGTCGGCGTTGAGGATTGTGGACAGGCGGTGGGCTATGACGATTGTGGTGGCGTTCTGGAGCAGCGTGCTTTCGAGGGCGTCCTTGATCGCGCGCTCGGTGATGGAGTCAAGGGAGGATGTGGGTTCGTCCAGAATAACTACGCTAGGCTGCTTGAGGATGACCCTGGCGATAGCGAGCCTCTGCCTTTCGCCACCGGAGAGCCTGTAACCGAATTGCCCAACCACAGTTTCATACCCGTTGGGAAGACTGACCAACAGGTCGTGGAGCTGGGCGGCCTTACAGGCGTTTACCATTTCATTCTCCGTCGCGTGGGGTCTGGCTATAAGGAGATTCTCTTTGACGGTAGTGTTAAAGACGGCGCTGTCCTGGGGCACTAGGCTCATGTGCTGCCTCAGCGAAGACAGCTTAATCGAGCGCAGGTCCTGCCCATCTATTTCCACGGTGCCGGTTGTGGGGTCATAGAGCCTCAGAATCAAATGCGATAGGGTTGTTTTGCCAGCTCCGCTTTTGCCGACGATTGCCGTCATCTTGCCGGGTTGAAACTCCAGCGATAATCCGGATATCACCGGACTGCCGGCATCGTACTTAACGGTCGCATTTTTCAGCGAAATAAGCCCGCCCACAGATTCCAGTTCCTCCGCGTTGATTGAGTCGTGGACTTCCGGCTCAAGGTCGACCCATTCGAAAATCCTTCTGAGATGAACGCCTTTGGCGGCAAATGCAGCCTGAAAAGATGCCAAGAAGGCAAGGGGACCTACAGTGCGCGCCCAGAGAGCCATAAAGGCGATGAGAACGCCTAGTGTCAATGAGCCATCCATTACGCCAAGCCCGCCGTAAAGGTAAATTATCCCGGAACCGATTAATGGGAGTACAGCGCCGACTGTTGACATCGACGCGCTTGCCATGCCCTCCCTAGCCCAAATGCTGTGAAGTTTGGAGGTAATTTCAGAGAACCTACGGCTGTCCGTCGTCTTATCGTATCCCACGCCGTTGAGCAGAATAGAGCCATCAATGTCCAGCCGGTCGCTGATGAATGATGAATTTTCGTCATACCACTGGGTCACTCCGTGGGCTAACCGCTCCCTCCATCTGCTGACGATGAAGCCTATACCGAAAATGAGCGGCAGGAATCCCAAGATCAGGAGGCTAAGCTCCCAGTTCCAGAGGAACATGAACACGAGAGTGACAGCTATCAGCAGGACCGAGCTTGCTATGTCAACGAGTGCATCTCTCACTACCCACTGAACTTCGCTAACGTCGTTCCACACTCTTGAGTTGACTGTTCCTCGATCGTTGTGGACAAAAAACCTGTATGACTGGCTCTGGATAGCGTTAAAAAGGGCTATCCGCACGTCTCGTGTTACGCCATTGGTGGCACGCTCAAGGCAGTACGACTCGACGATTCCGAAGACAATAATCAATGCTCCCGCACCAAGGACTGCGAGAGTCAGGCGAACTAGAAGGCCAGCGTCCTGATTGGGGATGGCCTTGTCAATCAGAACACTTACGACAAATGGCGGCAGCATCCAGAGCAGGGATAGGCTGAGCGACGACACAAGCCGATGGCAAGCCAAGGCCACTGGGATTTCAGGTATGGAAAGAGCCTTCGAAGAGTGCTAATAGTCGATGGGTTGTATGTGGGGTGATTAATAGTAGTCTCCTTGGTGTAGACATAAATTGGATAGTTGTGGACAGATGGGTATTGCGCATTTGAAATGCCTCCTGGTTAGGTTCTTGGTGGTTTCGATACCGATTAGAGGGGATGATTATCGCCGGAACCGATGCCTGCGGTTCGGGTGAAGGAATAGTACGGGGCGCGTGTTATAATCGTCGCGTTGTGGTGTGGGCGTTAGTTCTATACAGATATTGTAGCAAGCATGAGGAATGAGGGGTGCCGCAGTTATGAGTGAGAAGATTGTGGGAATTTCGATTCCGGCTCCGGATGCCAAGTCGATTATTGACTCGGTCGTAGAGGCGGAGAGTGTGGGGGTGAAGGCGGCGTGGCTGACGTCGGGCGGCGACGCGGGTGATGCGCTGACGGCGCTGGCGGTCGCGGGTGCGCGAACGGATGCGATAAAGCTGGGCACTCGATTATGCAGACGTGGTCGCGGCATCCGATAACGGCGGCGCGACAGGCGCAGACGATTGACGCGGTTGCGCCGGGACGCCTGCGGCTTGGCGTGGGGCCGGGGCACTTGCAGGCGATGCAGGAGACCTTTGGGGCGGGCTTTGAGGCGCCGTTGGGTCATCTGACTGAGTATGTGAGGGTGCTGAAGGGGCTGCTGGAAGAAGGCGAGATAGATTTCAGGGGAGCAGATCGTTGCGAAGGCGTCGCTGCCCGCGCCGACGAATGTTGCGGTGATGGCGTCTGCGCTGAGGCCACGCTCGTTCGAGATGTGCGGCGTGGAGGGTATTGGCGCGATAAGCTGGGTGTGCCCGCATCCGTATGTACGTGATACGGCGTTGCCCTGCGATGAGGGCTGCTGCCGAGGGCGCGGGCGGTGATACGCCGCCGCTGGTGGTGCATGCGCCGGTGTGCGTTACGGATGATCTTGCGGCGGCGCGGCAAGGAGTGAGGGAGCAACTAGGGGTACTTCCCGTATAACCCGTTCTATGCTCGGATGTTCGAGGCCGCCGGGTTCGCGGGATCGGAGGAGAGCGGGTGGACGGACGAGATGCTGGATTCGGTGCTGCTTGCGGGTGATGAGGAGACGGTCGCACTGAAGATTCGCGAGATGTTCGAGTGGGGCGCTGACGAGGTGCTGGCGAGCATTGTGACGGTTGGGGATTCTGAGGAATCGCGGATGCGAACGATGCGGCTGCTTGCTGAGGCCTGAGTGTGCTGACTCGATTGAAACGATGCGAGGGATGATCAGGGGAGGGAGTGACTAGCTGAGATTGTTCTTCGGTAGAGTCAGTACGAACTCGGCCAAAAGGAGACATCAGCTTGAGCGAGAGATTGAAGATTGATAGGGTGCGGTTTGCGGAGGTGAAGGCATCGGAGGCGACGACCTGGACGTTCGTGGAGGTGTATGACGGGGAGGGAACGGTCGCGACTGCGGAGATTACATGCGGCGGGAATACTGCGGAGGCGGTGCGGCTGACGTCGGAGCTCGTGGGACGCCTGAGGGGACGCGAGATCGCTGATGAGGGGGATGTGGAAGGGATGCTTGGGCTTGCGGTGTCGGATATGCAGGCGAATATGGCGCTGGCGACGGCGGTGAGCGGGCTGCGAACTGCTGTGAGCGACTTGCGGGCGCAGAGGCGGGGCATAACGCTGACGGAGGAGCTTGGTGGGACGCCGCAGGAGAGCGTGCTGCTGTACGCGAATATCAACAGGCACTTGCTGACGCGGGACAGGTCGCCGGCGTCGTTCGGCAGGGCGGCAGAGCTGGCGGTGTCACGGGGGTTCGGGATCGTGAAGTGCGCGCCGTTCGACGGGGTGGGGCCGCCTTCGACAAGGGGCGAGATACTTGATGTGGCGCGAGTGGGGATCGAGCGTGTGGCTGCTGTGAGGGCGGCGGTGGGCGATGATGTTACGGTGCTGGTGGACTGCCACAGCAGGTTCGAGCGGCATACTGCGCCGTTGGTGGCGGAGCAGCTTGCGAAGTCGAATATCGGGTGGTTCGAGGAGCCGGTGGAGCCGACGAAGGATGCTGAGGGGCTGGCTGCGATTGCGCGAGAGGTGTCGATGATAACCGCGGGCGGCGAGTCGGGGTATGGGCGCGAGTTTCTTCAGGGCAATTGTGGAATGCGGCGCGCTGAATGTGGTTATGCCGGATGTGAAGTATTGCGGCGGGCTGGCGGAGGCAAGGGCTGCGGGAATCGCGGCTATGGATGCGGGCGGCGATGTGTCGCTGCACAGTCCGTCGGGGCCGGTGTCGCTGATTGGGGGCGGGCATGCGACGGCGGCGATGCCGGGGGCGATACATCTGGAGCATGCGGTGTATGAGGCGGACTGGCGGGCGGAGCTGGTGCTGCCGCATGAGCGGGTTGAGGGTGGAAGGCTGTGGATGCCGGATGGCGCGGGATTGGGGGCTGTGCTGAATGAGGCGGTTGTGGAGAGGTATGGGCGGTTCTGGGAGGTGTAGGGGTACTGGTGCTGAAACTCTTCTGCAGTCGTTAGTAATGTTTCGGCTGATATAGTCGCTAGGACTGCTCTAAGGAGAACACCATGAACGTCGGGTTTATTGGACTCGGTAATATCGGGAAGCCTATGGCGATGAATGTCGTGAACGCGGGGCACCGGACTAAGGTGCATGATGTGCGACCGGAGGCGGCGACAGACCTGCTGGAGGCGGGGGCGGTGTGGGCAGAGACGCCGGCGGATGCGGCCCGTGGGAGTGATGTGGTTATGGGATCGCTGCCGGGTCCACTGGAGGTCGAGGCGGTGGTGAATGGAGATCAGGGTGTGCTCGATGGCGCTGCGGAGGGCTCTGTGTATATCGACCTGGCGACGAACTCGCCGAGCACCGTCCGTAAGCTGCACCAGATCTGCGCCGAGAGGGGTGTCGCATATATTGACGCACCCGTCAGCAAGGGTCCGGACCGACGCCGCGGACCTGGGTATGCTGACGGTGATGGTGGGGGGCGATCCGGACACGCTTGAACGGGTTCGGCCTGTGCTGAATGCCATCGCAGACCCGAGTCGCATCTTCTACTGCGGTCCTGTCGGGTCGGGAGCCATCTGCAAGCTGTGCAACAACCTCGTCAGCCACACCACCTTTAGCGTGCTGGCGGAGGCGCTTACAATAGGTCTTAAGGCCGGTGTGCCCCTAGAGACGCTATCGGCGGTCATGGCCGCCGGGCTCGGCATCCAGCCCCAAGATCGGCCGGTTCGAGTCGGTTTTTCGATCGGGACTTCGATCCGGCCGGTTTCGCGTTCGTGAGATCGGATGCGAAGGATGTTCGGCTCGCAACCGAGCTTGCCCGCGAGGTGGATGTTCCGGCGGATATCGCGGCAGCGGTCGATCAGAAGTATGTTGCCGCGGTTGCCGCGGGAATTGGTCATCTTGGCGGGTCGGCGATTGTGCAGGTGCAGGAGGAACGGGCACGGGTGGAGTTGCGGCGGGAGAGTGGGGGCGTGTCCGGGCGCTAGGACGACAACACGACGACAGCGGCGGCGACTGGCTCTCGGCGTGGCGGTTACAGCAAAGGCGCGCTCGATGGTTCTTCCCGTTTGACTGCATCGTGCGCCTGAAGTACCATCCAACCCGAACACTTACCACATTACAAGGAGGCGCTGGCATGGGCACGATAATCGGTGAAGGCGATTTCAGGTACGAGCACATAATTGACTGGCACAAGATGCCGGAGGGCGCGAGGCTTATCGAGACGCCGGGCGTGGCGGTGGACTCACAGGACGATGTTTACGCATTCAGTCGGAATCCGGACTACCCGGTTATGGTATTCGGACAGGACGGCGCCTTCGTCCGCGGATTCGGGAAGGGCATATTTGGCAACCGCACGCACGGCATATACGTCGGTCCCGAGGACACCATCTACTGTGTGGACGACGGCATACACACTATCACCAAATTCACCCGCGAGGGCGAACTGCTTATGACCATCGGCACGTCGGGCGTGTCCTCCGAAATATGGAAGGGAGAGCCGTTTAACAGGCCCACTCACGCCGCGGTGTCTAGGAAGACCGGCCACATATACATTTCGGACGGCTACGGCAACTTCAACGTCCACAAGTACACGGGCGAAGGCGAGTATGTCAAAAGCTGGGGCGGCCCCGGCATCGATCCGGGCGAGTTCCTGCGCCCACACAATATCGCGGTGGACAACGATGACCGCGTGCTGGTCGCGGACCGCGAGGCGCACCGGATACAGGTCTTCGACGCAGACGGAAACGTACTGGACGTTTGGAACAATATACATATGCCTAACGGCATGACCATCGGGCCGGACGACAATATATACGTGGGTGAACTACCTGGCGCGACCCAGGCCGACCCGACGCCGCCTCGACATGGACATCGCGTGACTATCTACGACAACAGCGGCAGACGACTTGCACTGCTCGGCGCGGATGACGAAGGCGAGGAGTCCGGCGCGTTCATAGCTCCGCACGGCATGGGAGTTGACAGCCACGGCAATATATACGTCGGCGAGGTCTCCTACACCATCCGCGGCAGCCGCATGGACCCGCCCAAAGAACTCCGCAGCTTCACCAAGCTCGCCAAGGTCAGTCAGGCAAGCATCTAACCGGCCGTCTAAATACGGTGGTTCTCGTAGCAAGCGGGGCTGTCGCCGCGGTCGGTGTTTGTCATCCTACTATCCTTGAACGCGTGTAAGTCGTACCAAGAAGTTGCTTGCATTCGGATTGATGAGTCGACCTGCATCGACCACGCTGGCGAGTACCCATCCCGCCGCGCTCGGCGTCCACTCCGGCAGGGTGACGAACGCGCCCGCATCCGAGTGTGGAGCAATAGGGTGATATGGTCTCGTCTCCACGGGTATGCTGACCATGTGTTTCCCAGATGCAGGGGCGAATGTGCCTTCTACCCTCATAGATGACAGCGCAAGTGTCGGAGGGCGGACTGTGATGAACCGCCATGAGCTTGAGGAGTTTCTGGGCCGCAATCTAGGCAGGCGGCGCAATGGCTTACTCGGCAGAATGTTTGGGTAGACGTAGGGGCAGACTTACAGCCAGCCCCTTATTCTAGCTAGTCGATGTTGCCGCCGAGGACGTCGATGGCGAGGGCTAGCATTATCTCGGTGCCGCTGATTAGGCTGTTGATGCCGATGGACTCGTCGGTGCCGTGGGCGCGGGTTAGTAGGACAGGGCTTTCTCTATCTCCGCTGTCAATTCGATGGGAATGAAGCACGCGGCCGGATATAGGTAGTCTTCAGAAGACTCGTCTATGACTCGAACCAATTGGTGCTTCGCTGCGGTTGTATCTGGCAGAACACGATAGATTTTGCCCACTTCCAGCGCGGCAGGGTAGTCGTCGTTGTTAATGCAGACGGCATACGTCTTGAGTGTCGTTCTCATTGATGTGTACAGAATCTAGTCTGATGTCGTCCTTCCCGATACTGTGGCTTCAAGACTCAACGCCATCTGGATTCCTGCTTCCGCAGGAATGACGGGAGATATCAGGAATGACAGGGCGCGTTAGTCGCTTTTGCCGTTGAGGACGTCGATGGCCAGGGCTAGCATTATTTTTGTTCCGCTGATGAGGCTGCTGATGCCGATGGATTCGTCGGTGCCGTGGGCGCGGCTGAGCATGGGGTCGTCGTCGGGGTGGGAGCCGTTGAAGCCGTAGGTTACTGTGCCGAGGGGTCGGGTGAAGCGGGAGTCGGTGAAGCCGGTGCTGATGGCGGGTACCCACTGGATGTCGTCTATGCCGAGCGCGGCTGCTGTTGCTCTCTGGACGCTCCTGCCGAGGTCGGTGTCGAATGAGGACGAGTTGGGGACTGCCATGTAGTCGATTTCGTAGGTGGTGTTGGGGATGCCCTCCAGGATGGAATCCAACTGCTCTCGCAGGTAGTCGTCGCTCTGGTGTGGGAGCGTGCGGACGTCACAGGTGAGTCGGATGGTCTCGGGGACGCTGTTGGACTTGATGCCGCCGCTAATCATGGTGGGGGTGAGTGTCATGCGTGATAGGGCGCGCATCATGGAGGCGAAGCGCGGGTTCTCCGGCTCGATTTCGGCGATGATTTCGTCCACGTTTGCGGCTGAGGGCTTGTGCTCGATGGCGAAGACAGAAAGATGATCGAATAGGCTGGTGGATGTGTCGCGCTCCGGCTCGTATGCCTCGATGCGCTGCAAGACGCGTTGCAGCGTGTACAGGGCGTTCGTGCCCTGCCATGGGACGGATGCGTGGGAGCTGACGCCTTTAACCTCGATTTCGACTTGCAGGCGTCCTTTTTCGCCTGTGCCGAGCAGGTATGTGAGGCCGCTGGGAGAGTCGATTGGCGTGCCGCCGCCTTCGTTGACCGCGAAGGGCGCGCGGATTTTGTCAGGGTGGTTTCCGCGAGCCAGCCGAAACCGTAGCGACCGCCGTGCTCTTCATCGGCACCGGAGCAGAAGATCAGGCTGTCTTCGAGCTGGATTCCGTTGCGAATTAGGAGGCGCATGGCATACAACTGGGCGGTAAGCAGCCCCTTGCAGTCGGATGCGCCGCGCCCATAGATGCGTCCGTCGGCGATGGTCGCGCTGAAGGGTGGGAATCGCCACTTCTCTTCCTCTTCGACCGGGACGACATCGGTGTGGGACATGAACATGAGGCCGGCATCGGAGTTGCTGCCTTCGATACGGGCGATGATGTTGCCTCGCTCGGGAGTGCGTCCAAGGATTTCGGACTCGATGCCGTCTTCTGCGAGCCAGTCGCGGATGTACTCGCATACTGGGGTTTCGTCGCCTGTGGGCATGAAACCGGTATTGACGGACGGGATGCGTACGAGTGTTTGTTCGAGGGCGATTATCTCGTCACGCTGGGCGTCAACCTGGGTGAATAGTTCTTCGAGAGTGGGCATTGGTAGTTCCTCCAGAGAGAGTGTCAGTTTGTAGTTGGTCAGTCAGATGAGGGCTAACATTGATTCACAGGATTGACAGGATACGCGTGGTTAGGCGTCGAAGATACAGGTTGCCATGAGGAGGGCGGCGATGCTCTTGGCGTCCTGGATTTCGCCGAGTCTTATGAGCTGAGGAATGCGGGATAGAGGGACTTTTTCGACCTGGATATCTTCGTCGTCGTCTGCCTGCAGGCTGCGCGGCACGAGGTCTTTGGCCAGATAGGCGTACATGAATTCGGTGCAGAAGCCTGGGGACGACCAGAAGCCGCCGAGGATGCGGAGGTTGCGGGACGCGTAGCCTATCTCTTCGGCGAGTTCGCGCTGGGCGCAGTCGTCGGGGTCTTCGCCTTCCTCGATCAGACCTGCGGGGGCTTCGAGAAGAGACTGGCCCGCTGCGTAGCGGTACTGGCGCACGAGCAGCACATTGTCATCGGCGTCTATGGGCGCGATGACGACGGCATTGGCATGGTCAACGACCTCACGGACGGACTTCGTGCCGCTTCGCATGAGTATATCGTCAACGCGGACCTTGATGATTTTGCCGTCGTAGATTTCGCGGGAGGCTATCTGCTCTTCTGGCTGCATCGAGTTTGCCTTTCAGACTTTGTACTCAGGACTAGCTATCGGCCGGGTTGTAGGTTGGAGTGTCCATGCCGAGTGTTCGACGGGTGAGGGCGGCGTAGAACGCGGTGGGAGCAGTGACGACGCAGGAAGCGCGTGGTGTAGGGACTTCTTCGTATGGAAACGCGGTCTTCGCCATGGAGCAGGGTATCGGTGAACCCGTCCACACTTAACAGGGCTTCGTGCTTGTCGCTTGCCTGAAGCTCAAGCTCGGTGTAGTCGGGCAGGATCAGCCACTGCGGAGTCCGGTGTGGGCTGCTACGGGCTGAATGAGCATCGCCATGGTTTCAGGGTACATGATGGGACCGCCGGCGGAGAGGGCGTAGCCGGTGCTGCCGGTGGCGGTGGAGACGATTACGGCGTCTGCGCGATAGCTTGTGAGGATGACGCCGTCGATGGTGGCAACGATGTCGAGCAGTCTGGCGGAGCCGCCCCTGCCGACTACGACGTCGTTGAGGGCGTGAAGATTCAAGTAGGGCTCCTGCTCGTCGCCGTGCCGTACGTTGACTTCGAGCATCATGCGCTCTTCAAGGCGGGCGCTGCCGTTGAGGTAGGCTGGAAGTTCCTCTATGGCTTCGTGAACCTGCAATTCTGCCATGAAGCCGATCCTGCCCATGTTGATGCCCACGAGAGGTATGCCGTATTCGGCGATAGTGCGGACGACACGGAGGATTGTGCCGTCTCCGCCTGCCATGACTATGAGGCGAGTGTCGAGCAACTCTGAACGCATTGCGTCGAGATTTGCCGCAGGGCTCATCCAGCATTCATCGCCGAGGTTGAGCGAGCGCATGACGGCTTCGGTCATCTGCAAAGCGGTGGGATGCTGCGCGTTGTACACGAAGCCAATTAGACTGGATGAGGTCATACTATTAAACCTGACATGGATGAACAGGATAGGGAGATCGTCTTCTCATTGCCATCCTAACCTTATGTCCATTTTCAGGGAAAGAGATCTGTTGGCGCAAGTTATGACAGTAGGGCGCCGGCGGCGGATCGGGCGAGGTTGAGGAGAGGCGTGGGGTATATGCCGAAGATGAGTGTGCCGATGAAGCCAATGGCGACCGCGAGCTGCATGGGCAGGCCGAACGCTACGCGCTCCTCGGAGGTGGGTTCTGAAAGGAACATCGCCTTGACTACGCGGAGGTAGTAGTAGGCTGATACGACGCTGTTGACCACGCCGATGACTACGAGCCATTCGAGGTTTGCTTCGACTGCCGCGCCGAAGAGGTAGATTTTTGCCCAAAAGCCGACTGCCGGGGGTATGCCGGTTAGGGAGATCATGGAGAGCGTCAGGACCGTCGCGAGGATGGGCGCTCGGCGCGCCATTCCGGCGTAGTCGTCAATCCGGTCACTGTTTATCCTGTTGGAGATGGCTATGATTACGGAGAACGCCGCGAGGTTTGTCGCCGCGAAGCCTCCGAGATAGAAGAGGACACCGGATGGTCCCTATTGACGACTCGGCGCCGGGCGTGCGCGTTGCGACTGCGGCGAGACCGACGAGAATGTAGCCCGCGTGCGCGATTGTGCTGTATCCCATCATGCGCTTGATGTTGTCTTGACGGATGGCGACCAAGTTGCCAATCGTCATCGAGAGGGCGCTGAGGACGGCAAATGTCGCACTCCAGTCGAGGCTGAGCGTGTCAGCTGGGAAGGCGATGTAGAAGACGCGGAGGATGACCGCGAAGCCTGCTGCCTTGCTTGCCACGGAGAGGAAGGCCGTGATAGGTGTGGGGGAGCCTTCGTACACGTCGGGCGCCCACATCTGGAAGGGGACGCTGGCGATTTTGAAGCCGAAGCCTGCAATCATCAGGACTATGCCGAACAGCAGGGCGTTGCTGCCGAACGGAGTGCCGCCGCTGAGTTCCATGCCGCCAATTTGCTGCGCGATCTCGGGCAGCGAAGTGGTGCCGGTGAAGCCGTACACGATGACCATGCCGTAGAGCAGGATCGCGGAGCTGATTGCGCTGAGGATTAGGAACTTCATCCCGGATTCTGTGGAGCGGGGTTTCGCATGAATGCTGCCAGCGCGGCGATAGGCAGCGCGGTGAGTTCGAGGATATGTAGATGGTAATGAGTTCGGTCGTGGATGCGAGCAGCATCATGCCGGTCGTGGCGAAGAGCACGAGGGCGTAGTATTCCGCCTGGAAGCGTTCGAACTTCTTCACGTAGTCGGTGGAGGACAGGATGACAACGCCTGCGGCGGCGATGAGCAGGAACTTGAAGAAGAGGCTGAACTTGTCAACAACGAGCGTGTTGAACATGCCGTGCATCTGCATTGTGTCGCCGGCAGACAGGTCGAACCATAGCATCAGGCTGAATACGAGGGGCACGGCGAGGCCGAGCACTGCCAGAATTGGCAGCACGGTCTTTTTTCTGACGACCAGATCCACCAGCACCAGAATGGCTGCGAGTGCAGCCAGGCTGATCTCCGGCGCTAACAGGTATAGGTCATGAGATGACATCCGGTACTCCGTCGTATTTCGGTGTTATTTGATAGATTCTGTTGATATTTTGTCGCCGCTTATCGTTTCTTTTGTCATGAAATCTAATGTAAAACTGGTTCAGTACGGCGATTTTAGATTTCGCACTGCGTTCGGTATGACGGTAAATAGCGTTAGCGCAGACGCGCCTGCGCCACTTGTTCAAGGGATTGCGCTATGGGCTCGACGCCGCTTGAGAATACATCAGATATAAACGATGGGAAGATGCCCACTGCGATGATGGCGATTAAGAGCAGGGCTATGGGGACATACTGGATCCCCGACACATCAGTAATGTCTGAGAAGCGCTCCTTGATGGGGCCGAACATCACGCGCTGGATAGTCCATAGGATGTAGCCCGCGGCGAGCACGACGCCGAAAGCGGCGATCGCGGTTGGGATAGCCCATACCTTGAACGCGCCGAGGAATATGAGCAGTTCGGCGACGAAGCCGCTTGTGCCGGGCAAGCCGAGTGAAGCCAATCCCGCGACGAGCAGCGCGACGGCAAGGAAAGGCATGCGCTTTGCGAGTCCGCCGAGGTCTGGGATGTAACGGGTGTGCGCCTTGTCGTACACCATGCCGACAAGCAGGAATAGCAAGCCGGTGATAGTGCCGTGCGTGAACATCTGCATCGCGGCGCCGGTAAGGCCAAGCGGCGAGACCGCGCCGTTCACGCCGACAACGGACGCCAAGCCGATCATGATGAATCCCATGTGGCTGATGCTGCTGAATGCGATGAGGCGCTTGAGGTCGGTCTGTCGCATGACGACGATTGCGCCGTAAATGACGTTGATGACGCCCGCGGCTACGAGCAGCCATGCGACATCCTGAGCCACTTCGGGGAACATGCTAATCGAGACGCGGAACATACCGTAGGCGCCCATCTTTAGGAGGACGCCGGCCAGGATGACGCTACCGGCTGTGGGCGCGTCGGTGTGAGCGTCGGGCAGCCATGTGTGCAGGGGCCAGAGCGGGAGCTTGATCGCGAAGCCGATGAACAGGAGCGCGAAGACGACGCCTGCGGGCAGCAACAAGTTAGCTCCGCGTATGGCGTCGGGGAGCTTGGTCATGTCGAATGTGCCGGTTGAGAAGAATAGCACCAGGATTCCGACAAGCATGAACGCGCTGCCGAGGATGGTGAATATCAGGAACTTCATCGCAGAGTATTCGCGCTTGCTCTTGGGGTCGCTGCCCCAGATGGCGATGAGGAAGAACATGGGGATCAGCTCAAGCTCCCAGAAGAGGAAGAAGAGCAGGAAGTCGAGTGATGTGAAGACGCCCATGACGCCGGTCTGGAGGGCGAGCAGCCAGATGAAATACTCGCGGACGCGCAGCTGGATGTGCCAAGAGGCTAGAACGGCTACGAGGCCGAGCAAGCCTGTGAGCAGGACAAGCGGCGCGCTGAGGCCGTCGATGCCGAGCAGGTATTGGACAGCGAAGCCGTCGTCGCCCAGGCCGGGAATCCAGTTGGAGAAGCGGTCAACGAGCTGTATGCCGCCCGCGCTCGTGTTGTATGCCGCGAAGGCTATGATGGCGAGCACGAAGTCGATGACGGCGATTGCCACCGCGAAGATGCGGGCTTGGTTGTAATTTCTGAGCACAAGCGCGATGACTATCGCTCCTGCGATTGGCAGGAAGACTATCGCACTTAGCAGACCTGTGAATTCCAAGCTTTACTCCTGGTTATTAAAATTGAAATCGTTACTGTGAAAAGCAACTTTGAACTGATCCGTCCTTCGACAATCTCAGGATGAACGGGGTTTCTTTGTCCCATTGCTAGATTGAGAACGCAACTAACTTTGTTGTGAATTGATTTTCCGATCAGGGATTTTAGATTCCTCGCTTCACTTGGAATGACAGATGGGTTTTGATTAGCCCAAGAATAGGAAAATGGCGAATATGATCAATATGCCAACGGATATGCTCATGCCGTAGGCTTGCAGTTGTCCTGTTTGCACCTGGCGGATGGCGGTGCCGGTGTTGGCGCCGAGCCAGCCGCAGAAATTGGCGATTTTGTCCACGACGGACTTGTCAACCCAGTCCAACGCATAGGCGATGCCTTTGTAGAAGACTCCCCTGACGATGACATCCTCGTATAGCTCGTCCATGAAGTACTTGCGATAGAGAAGCGTGTGTATTGGGCGGAAAGCGCGTCCCATGCCTTCCGGCGAGATGGCGCGCGCGATGTACATCAGGTATGCGAGGCCGATGCCGAGGAGCGCCATGACCGTTGAGAGGCCTGCGATTGCAATGTTGAAGGTTGTCGACTCGACATGGACGAATGGGTTGTAGTCAAGGAAATGGGTCATCCAGTGCGCGGGGATTATGCCCAAGTCGAAGATGGAGTTGGCTAGAAAAACCTGCGACAACTGCGGGAACCGCCAAGATGATCAGGGGCCAGGTCATAGTTGCCGGCGACTCTTCGAGGTGTATGGGGTGCTCCGAGTGAGCGTCAGGGTCTCTATCAGCGCCACCCTTGAAGTTGCCGTGGAAAGTCATAAAGACGGCGCGGAACATGTAGAACGCGGTCATGAAAGCGGCGATCAGCGCCAGAGCGAAGACAATCGAACTGATTGTGTTGCCGCCGCTGAAGGCGTGGCTCAGGATTTCATCCTTGCTCCAGAAGCCTGCGAGGGGGACTATACCGGCGAGGCTTAGGCTGCCGATAATGAAGGTGAGATATGTCTTGGGCATTGCCACGCGAAGTCCGCCCATGTAACGCATGTCGAAGGTGCCGGTGGCGTGATTGACGCTGCCGGAGCCGAGGAACAGGAGCGCCTTGAAGAAGGCGTGAGTGAACAGGTGGAATATGGCGGCGCCGTAAGCGCCTACGCCCAGCGCGAGCATCATGTAGCCGAGCTGGCTGATGGTAGAGTAGGCGAGGACGCGCTTGATGTCGTTCATCACGAGTCCCATTGAGGCGGCGAAGATTGCCGTGATGCCGCCGATGATGGCGACGGTGTTCATGGCCGTGATGGATAGCTCGAACACCGGGAAGAAGCGGGCGACAAGGAAGACGCCTGCCGCGACCATCGTTGCGGCGTGAATGAGCGCGCTGACGGGCGTGGGGCCTTCCATCGCGTCTGGGAGCCATGTGTGCAGCGGGAACTGCGCTGACTTGCCCATCGCGCCCGCGAAGATGCCGAGCGCGATCCACTGCGCCACACCAACGCCCAGAAGTCCCAGTTCGACGCCGTGATAGATGTCGGTTACAACGAAGACGTTCAAGCCGGCGTCTGTGAATGCGCCGCCGTTGAAGAACAGGAACAGGATGCCGAGCAGGAAGCCGAAGTCTGCGAAGCGGGTGATGATGAACGCCTTCTTCGCTGCGGCTGCCGCGGCGGGCCTTTCGAACCAGAAGCCGATGAGCAGGTAAGAGCCGAGACCTACGAGTTCCCAGAAGACGAACATCTGGATGAGGTTATTGGCTAGGACGAGGCCGAGCATGGCGCAAGTGAACAGTGACATGTAGGCGAAATAGCGGGCGTAGCCGTCATCGCCGTGCATGTAGCCGATTGAGTAGATCTGCACCATCAGGCTTACGCCTGTCACGACGACGAGCATTATTGCCGTGAGCGGGTCCATAAGGATTCCGACGGCGAAGTCGAACTCGCCTGCGCTGATCCACGTGTGGACGGGGTAAGGCATTTCTCCGTGCGAGGCTACTGTGCTTATTAGCGCCCAAAGCGAGAGGACAAAGGACAGCCCTACGGCGCCGATGGTGAGGTAGCCTGCGTACTTCGACTCTGCACCAAGGACCGGGCGGATTACGAGCGCAATCAGCGCGAATGACGCGAGGGGCAGAAACAGGATTAGCCAAGCGGCTGCTTCGGGCATAGGTTAAAGCTTCCTCAGAATTTCATCCGCGACATGCTCGCGACCCTTTGGGACTAGCACGCGGAAGGTGGAGCGTTCGCTCCAAGTCATAATGTCGCCATCAGGGAGGATCATCGTGGGGAGGCCGTCGCCTTCCAGCACATCCTTCCACATCTGGGCGCTCATCAGATTTGACGCTTTCTTATAGTCAGTCCACATATTCTTCAGCCCTTACTTTGGTCTTACTTATTCAGCTCGGCGGCGTCGGAGACGAAGATGCTGCCGCGCTGTCGGAAGATGGAGAGCACGATAGCGAGTCCGAGCGCGACTTCAGCCGCCGCGACAGTGATGATAAACACGGTAAAGACCTGGCCCGTGAGGAGGAATCGCACTACCTCGTCGGCAGCCTGCGGGTTCTCCAGGACGGAGGCGGGAACGATGTAGCGGGACATGGCGACCGCGCTGATGTTGACCCCGTTGAACATCAGCTCGATGCACATGAGGACTGTGATGGCGTTGTTCTTCGTCATTGCGCCGTACAGTCCGATGGCGAAAATTATCGCCGCTACTATCAGGAAGTTTTCGAGGCTCAAGTAATTTTTGCCTTTCGAATACGTACTTCGTGTGTGTTAACGCTCGCGTATCAGAGCGAGCGCGCCAATGAGAGCGGCCAGCAGCACTACTGAGGCTACTTCGAATGCCAGTACGAAGTCGCGGAGCAGCAGGCGTCCTATCCACGGGATTGTGTTGGAATAGACCTCGCCGATTCGGGCGGTCGTGTCTGCCGTGAACGTACCGGCGGCTATTGCCGCTTCCAGAGTGTTCCAGTTTGTGGTTACTGCGACGTAGATTGCCACTGCCGCGAACAGCACCGAGAATATCGCCATTGGCAGGCGGAACTTGTTAGACGGGCTGCCCTCCTCCACGTCTTGCGTCATCAGGATTGCGAAGATTATCAGCACGGAAATTGCGCCGACATAGACCAGCACCTGGACGACCGCGAGGAACTCGGCGCGAAGCAGGACGAACATTCCAGCCACACCGAGAAAGGATACTATCAGAAATAGAGCAGCCCTGAACAGGTCTTTGAGAATGACGACCGCCAGCGCAGCGATAATGCTGGAGACGGCGATGGTCCAAAAGATAATGTTCGCAAGCAGGCTTGCCTCTGTGCCCTGACCCAACATTAGCGTTCAGTCCACCTTTCTTCCTGCTGCTGGAGGGTCGGCCGCTCGTGGCGTCCGGCGTCTTCCCATGGGATGTCGTCGTGCCTGTGCGGGTGGTAGCCCTTGTCCTCGATTTGAGGGCGGAACCACAGGCTGGGGCGCTTTGGCGATTCGTTGAGCATCTGCTTGCTGATGACGAGGTCGCGGCGCCTGTACTGGCCCTCCTCGAAGCCGCTGCCCATGTGGAGGGCGTCGTATGGGCATGCCTCGACGCAGAGTCCGCAGAACATGCACCTGCCGATGTCGATGTCGAAAACGTCGATTGCATACTTGTCGCCTTCGGGGATTTGCTCTTGGTCGCCACTGGGGTGGGTTACGATGCGGATAATTCCGAGCGGGCAGTATTTGGCGCAACTGGCACAACCTGTGCAGCGCTGCTCGTACCAACTGAACTCCTCGCCTCGGAAGCGTCCGTGCTGGGGCATCCTGTCGGGGACGCTGACCATGCCGACAAGCGCCTTGAAAGCGGTGCCGGGTTCCTTGAAGGCGAGCGCGATGGCGCTGGTATCGCGCGATTTCGCCAATTCGACAAGGCTGATTTTGCGGTCAGGGTACTGGTTTAGGGTGAACATACGGCTCGGCATTACCAAGTTCTTCATGGTGATGCCCAAGCCCTTTTAGCAGTCCAGTTCCATACATGGCTAGTCTGCCTCCGCATACATGTTTGCAAGGGGTGAAGGCTGCGGCGTGGGGCGTTCCAGACGCCTGCCACCGAGCACATTGGTCATCACGAAGATAGCAGCGATGGTGATTACCCAGTTGACTGCTGCCATTGTCCACATTCCGCGAGTGCTGATGTTGCCTTCGCCATCCTGGAAGAGCATTACTTCGATGGCTATGACGAAGATGTTAATGATGGCGAGGGCGAAGAGTCCCTTCCACGCAAATGCCATAATCTGGTCGATACGAAGGCGAGGCCATGTCGCGCGCACCCAGAGGAGTCCGAATATCACGACAAGCACTTTCAGCACGAACCAGACCTGCCCCGGTATCGGATCGAAGCCGCGCGTGCCGCCGAAGAAGAGCGTGACAGCAATGATGCTGGTAACGATGGGCGCCATGAATTCGGCTAACTGGAAGATAGCGAACTTCATGCCGCTGTACTCGGTGTGGTAGCCCGCGCCAAGCTCGGATTCGGCTTCAATCTGGTCGAAGGGAGTGCGGCTCATCTCCGCTGATGCCGCGGCAAGGAATACGAGGAAGCCGAGCGGCTGCACGAGCAGGAAGGGGACCTTTTGCGCCTGCACGACGTCGTAGAGGGACATCGAGTTGGCGATGAGGACGACGCCGATGATCGAGAGCGCCATCGGGACTTCGTAGCTGCATAGCATTGCCACGCCGCGCATCGAGCCGATCATGGCGTACTTGTTGCGTGACGCAAAGCCTGCCGCAAGAACCGCGACGGTGTTCATCGAGGTTACGCCTACGATGAACAGAACGCCAATGTTGAGCCTACCCAAGAAGGTGTGTTCACCGAAGGGTATGACTGCGATTGTCATAACCGTAGGCGCGAATAGGATGATGGGCGCAATTGCGAAGACCATGCGGTCGGCGATAGCGGGCGTGGTGTCTTCCTTGACGATGAGCTTGAGCACGTCCGCGAAGGGCTGGAGCAGGCCGAATGGACCCCAACGGTTGGGACCCATCCTCGCCTGAAACCTGCCGATGGTGCGGCGCTCGAACCAAGTGTAGAGCGCGGTGGAAAGCACCATTGCGTTAATGACGATAAAGGCCAGAACTCCGCAGGTGGCGGCGTAGGCGAGCCAACTCGGTAGGAACAGCGCAAAGAGGCTGTAAATGCCGTGGAAGCTAAGAAGACCCGTTTCGGTGAAGTCTATCATCTACTCGTCTTACCTGTCCACCTCGCCAAGCACGATGTCAATCGAGCCGAAGATAATGATGAGGTCGCTCATCTTCCATCCAAGCAGCATTTCGCGCAGGGGCGTGATATTTATAAAGGATGGAGCGCGAACATGGCAACGGTATGGCGCGATGCCGCCGTCGCTGACAAGGTAGAAGCCCAATTCGCCCTTTGGTGACTCGACTGCGGCGTAGGCGTCGCCTTCAGGCGGTCTGATGAAGAAGGGCGCCTGGGACCTTATTGGCCCCCGTGGGATGTCCCTGACGCATTGGCGGATGATGCGGATACTCTCGCGCATCTCCTGAACGCGGACGATGTAGCGGTCGAATGTGTCGCCAAGCGCGCCGATGGGGATGTCAAAGTCCATCCTGTCGTAGATCTCGTATGGGTCTGCCTTGCGGAGGTCCCACTCGACTCCTGCTGCGCGGAGCATGGGGCCGGATATCGAGAAGTCAATCGCGTCAACGTCGTTGAGGATGCCGACTTCCCTAGTGCGCGTGAGGACGATTTCGTTGCCGGAGATCAGGCTCTCAAGCTCGTCAATGTAGGCGGGCGTGTTGCTGATGAAGGAGTCGAGCGCGGGCCAGAAGTCATCGGGTGTATCCTGTAATACGCCGCCGGGCCGCATGTAGGTTAGGGTGATGCGCGCGCCGCATAGCATCTCGAACAGGTCGAGAATGCGCTCACGCTCGCGGAAGCAGTACATCAACGGCGTGGCGAGCGCGCCGAGGTCGTTCAGCAGGAATCCGGTCGCCATGAGGTGGCTTGCGATGCGCTGAAGCTCTGCGCTGATTTACGCGGATGTACTGAGCGCGCGCAGGGACTTCGATGCCGGCGAGCTTTTCCACCGCACGGACATAGGCAAGGTTGTTGGACATACTTGCAGTGTAGTCCATGCGGTCTGTGAGAGTTACAATCTGCACATAGGTGCGGCCTTCGGCGAGCTTTTCAGAGCCGCGATGCAGGTAGCCGAGCACCGGCTCGACGTCCACGATAACTTCGCCATCGAAGGTAACGCGCAGCCTGAAGACCCCGTGCGTGCTGGGGTGCTGTGGGCCCAGGTTTATTGTGACCGGCTCAGTCTTTAGGGTCATTAGCCCATGGTCTTTCTTCGCAACGTTTTATTTGGGACTGGGTATTATTCATAACACCCCCATCCTAACCTTCCCCCATCGAGGGGGAAGGGACAATTGGTTATGGGTCTTGGCCAAGGTAGTCTTTTCGCAGCGGGTGTCCGGGGAAGCCTTCCCAGAGCAGGATGCGCTTCAGGTTGGGGTGCCCTTCGAAGCGGATGCCGAAGAGGTCCCAGACTTCGCGCTCCTGAAAGTCTGCGCCGCGCCAGATGCCGCTGACGGAGGGCGCGGTCACTTCGTCCCTGCCGTAGCAGTGCGCCTTCAGCACTATGCTCTGGTTGAACTTCATGGAAACGAGGTGATACACCAGCTCGAAGTATTCCACATAGTCAACCGCGGTTACTGAGGAGAGGAAGGAGAACTCCAAGCCCTCGGTGTCCTTGAGAAAGCGCGCGACCTGGGGTATCGAAGCAAGTTCAATCAAGACATCGCCGTTGTAGGATTCGACAACGGCTCCAGGAAGTTCTGCGTTAATCCGCCTTGCGACATCCGCCCCGGCAAGAGTTTTGGTCATATGCAGTCTCTTCTCACTTCGCGCGGGAGATGGAGTACCGCTTGATCTTCTCGTGCAGCTGCATGATGCCGTAGAGCAGGGCATCAGGTCTGGGTGGGCAGCCGGGGACATAAACATCGACGGGAATGATGTGGTTCACGCCGGGTACGACGCTGTAGCTGCCGTAGTAGGGGCCGCCACTGGTGGCACAGACGCCCATCGAGATTACCCACTTGGGCTCTGCCATCTGCTCATAAACGCGCTGGATGGCGGGCGCCATCTTCCATGTCACCGTTCCCGCGATGATAATCAGGTCTGCCTGACGGGGCGAGGGCCTGAATGCTTCCATTCCGAAGCGGGCAAGGTCGAAGCGGGACATCGCGCTTGCCATCATCTCGAAGGCGCAGCAGGCGAGGCCAAATGAGAGGGGCCAGAGCGCCGACTTTCTGCCCCAGTTGACGAGGGCGTCCACGGAGGTTACGGCGATGTTGCGCTCCAAGTCGTCGGGCACCTCAATGACCGGCTCCGTGAGCATGGAAGTATGGGTCGCCTTGAGGTGGTTGATGACGTCGCCTTCGCCTCTATCGACATCCCAAGTCTGCTGGAACAGCGGGATGGTGAGGTTGTGGCTTTCCTGCGTGATGTTCTCTGTCATGCTAACTCCACTCAAGCGAGCCTTTGCGCCATGCGTAAAGCCAGCCGACGATAAGGATGGCGATGAATACCAGCATTTCGAGCAGGATGAAGACGCCGAAGTGCCTGCTCATGTATCCGAAGCTTGCTGCCCAAGGGAAGAGGAAAATAACCTCGACGTCGAATATGACGAAGAGCAGCGCGAAGCCGTAGAACCTGAAGTTGAACTGGCTCCACCTGCCAGTGAGTGTCTCGAAACCGCATTCGTAAATGCTTTGCTTAATTGCGCTGGGCATCTGGGGACGAATCTTTAAGATCGACAACGCCCATGACGCAAGCAGCATGCCCACGGGCACAGCTACCGCGATTGCAGCAAAGATGGCTATGTACCCATATTGTCGGAAATAGTCGTCAAGCATAGTTTTCAACTTGCTGGGTCAACTGGTGGGCACTGGTGAAGGCTTCAGTTTGTCGCCGTGAATATAGCATAGCGCGCGAGTTTAATGCAAGCGAAATCTTTGTGTACGAGGCTGACGCAGGACCGCGGATAATGGCGCCTGAGACGCGGGCTTTCGCGTTCTGAGACATGGGCATTCGCCCGATGAACGGCAGTGGGATTATTGACACGTCTGAATGGTGAATGCTACGCTGGGAGGCGCCAACCCGCCATGAATTTTGAGGCCGTGAAGGGCGCAACAAGCGTCTGAACGCCAAATCCTGCGGAGTTCCTCATGACTTATTCCCCTTCCGCAGATACCGCCGAGAGGCGGCGTCCCGAACTGCCCGGCATGTTCACAGAGTATCGTGACGATATAGGCATCGCGCTGCGTGAGGCGCTGCGCGGCGGTGATTCCGTCTATGACCTGCTGCGCTACTATATGGGATGGGTCGATCCCGAGGGTAATGCGGCGTCCGGCACTGAGGGCAAGTATCTGCGTCCCACCCTGTGTCTGTTCGCGTGCGAAGCAGTTGGCGGCGGACGTGATAAGGCGATGCCTGCTGCTGCCGCGCTTGAACTCATTCACAACTTCTCGCTGATTCACGACGACATTCAGGACGGGGACGAAACGCGGCATCATCGGAAGACGCTGTGGGCAATCTGGGGCATTCCGAAGGCGCTTGTGGCCGGCAATGTGCTGCGAATAGTCGCGGACAGCACACTGGACGACTTGCAGTCTGTGGGTGTGCCGCCTAGCCGAGTTCTGCCCGCAGTCAACCAACTTACACAGGCGTACCTTGAGATGATCGAGGGGCAGTACCTGGACATCTCGTTTGAGGGGCAGAATGAAGTCGGACTGCAGCAGTATCTTGACATGATTGCGCGCAAAGACGGGGGCTCTCATACGATGCTCGTTCACGATGGGGCGCGCTCATAGGGTCGCCCGATGCCAAGGTTGCGGATGACTTCAGAGAGAGCGGCAAGGCACTTGGGTTCCTATTTCAGGTGCGCGACGACATTCTTGGGATTTGGGGGGATGAGGAGAGCACAGGCAAGCCGGTGGGGGCGGATATACGGCGCAAGAAGAATTCGTTTCCCGTGGTGTATGCGATGTCGGCGGCGGCGGGCGAGGACAAGCGCCATCTCCTGAGCATATACGGCAAGGAAGAGCTTGATGACTCGGATGTCGAAGATGTGCTGCACATCATGGACGGGCTGAATGTGCAAGAGCATGCCCACTCCCTGGCGGTGGAGCATGGCGGGATAGCGGTGGACGCTCTTTCGGCGGTGGAGATGGATGAGTGGGCGAGGGGCGAATACCAGAATCTGGTAGATTTCCTGTTGTACAGGGAACACTAGAAAGTTCTGCTAATGGCTGGGAGGGTGTTTTGGCAACTGAACTGGAACTTGCTTACAGTCACTGCCAGCGCGTGACAAAAGAGAACGCACGCAACTTTTACTACACCTTTCGCCCGATGCCTGCCGCCAAGAGGCGGGCGATGTACGCGGTATATGCCTACTGCCGGCTTTGCGACGACATTGCCGACGGCGAACTTCCCATAGACGAGAAGTATCGGGGATTCGAGGGCGTGCGGCGGAATCTTCAAGCGAGCGAGCCGTCCGGCGAGGATGCGCCGATGTTTCTGGCACTCCAACATGCGGCGCAGGATTACCAGATACCGTACACGTACTTCGAAGAGATTCTTCAGGGCGTAGAGATGGATATGGTGAAGACTCGATTCGCTACATTCGACGAGCTGCGGGAATACTGCTACAAGGTGGCTTCGGTCGTGGGGCTTGTGTGTATCAGGATATTCGGGTTCGAGGACGCGAAGGCGAAGGAATACGCCGTCGATATGGGATTGGCGATGCAGCTTACGAATATCCTGCGCGATGTGAAAGAGGACGCCGAGCGGGACCGCATTTATATTCCGCAGGACGAGATGAGCCGTTTCGGTTACACGGAGGCTGAACTGAAGCAATGCGCGGTTACTGACGCATTCAGGTCGCTGATGGAGTATCAGGCGGCGCGCGCGCGGAGGTACTTCGAGGGCAGCAGGCGGCTGTTTCCGCTCATTTCGTCAGATGCGCGGACTTGCCCGAAGTTGATGCATGCGACATACAGCGGCATATTGGAGCGCATAGAGCTGGCAGGCTTCGATGTGTTCGAGCGGCGTATCGGCTTGAGCGCGGGCCGCGAAGCTGCTGCTGCTGGCGCGGCTGTGGGCGGGAAGTCTGCTGCCTGCTGCTTCGGGTAGGAAATAGTCATTCTCCGAATGTGCGACCTGCCGATGCATGCGCTCATCCTCTGTCCATTCGACGCCGAGTGCATTGATTTGCTGCGAAAGTCTATGCAAGTCACGCACGAAAGCTGGACGGAAACGCGGCGATTGCATCACCCTCTCGAACTCGCTGAGCGGATCAATGAGGAGTCGGTAACGGCGTTGGTCGTTGAGTCAGACTTCGTTTTCGAGGACACACTTGATCTGACACCGGGGCTGCGCTTTGTTGGGGTGTGCCGCGCTGCGGTGAACCAAGTTGATGTGGACTTTGCGACTGCTAATGGTGTCGTTGTGGTGAACACACCGGGGCGCAACGCGAACGCCGTCGCCGAGCATACGCTTGGGTTGATGCTTGCTCTGGCAAGGCGGATTCCGGCGGCGCATAGGTATGTGCAGACGGGCGAGTGGCTAGTGCCGACCGAGCCGTATATCGCATTTCGTGGCATGGAATTGCGCGGCAGAACGGTTGGCATCGTGGGGCTTGGCGCTGTCGGGCGGCGGCTGGCGGATGTGTGCTTCGCGTTGGGGATGAATGTGCAGGCATACGATCCGTACCTGGCTAGTGCGCCTGATGGCGTAATGCTCGTATCGCTGGAGACTCTGTTGCCGACTTCGGATTTCGTGTGCGTGCATGTGCCCATGACTGAGGAAACAGACGGGATGCTTAATGCGGATATGCTAGGGCTGATGCGACCACATGCGTATCTGGTCAGCGCGTCTGATGCCGCGGTGTTCGATCAGGAAGCACTTGTGGCTGTGCTGAGGGAACGACGCATTGCGGGGGCAGCTCTGGATGTTTCGAGTCGCACCCGGTTTCGCCGCAAAATCCGCTACTTGCGATGGATAATGTGATACTCAGTCCGCATATCGGCGGGGCGACCAGTGAGACAATACAAAGGCACTCGCAGATGATGACGGACGATATTCTACGCTTCGTCAGGGGTGAGAAGCCCGTGAATCTCGTCAATCGTGATGTGTGGGTGCTGCGCTGATGGGCGACCGTGCGGTGGGACACGCATACACCCTCGTGCTGGATGCCGGCACTAGCCGGGCGAGATGCTTCGTCTTCGACTCAGAGGGCAGTGTAGCGTCCTCACGCAGTCGGAATTGGAATTATGTGGAGTCCGGTGAGGCGTACTCGCTGGCGCGTGAGTGGGAGCCGGATGCGCTTTGGCGAGAGATCTGCGCGCTGATTGCGAGTGCATCGCTGCAGAGTGAAGTCCATGCCAGAGACATCGGCGCGATTGCGGTTACGAGTCAGAGGCAATCGCTCGTGTTCCTTGATGCGGATGGCGGTGCGCTGTACGCTGGGCCCAATCTCGACTTGCGCGCTTTTTTCGAGGGGGCTGAGATTGACGATAGATGTCGGGAGCGAGTGTACAAGGTAACGGGGCATCTACCTTCGTTCATGTTCGCGCCTGCAAAGATCAAGTGGTTTCAGCGACATCGGCCGGAAGTGTTCAGGCGCATAACGAGCGTGCTGACGCTTGCCGACTGGCTGGCGTTTCGGCTTACAGGCGAGGCTACGAATGAGCGCGCGCTTGCGGGTGAGGCTGGATTGCTGGACATTCACGGCCGCGACCGATGTGGTGATTTTCTCGCTGAACTGGGTATTGAGATTGATGGCGCTCCGTTGGTGGATGCAGGCAGTCTGGTTGGGTGCGTTAGCGCGACCGGTGCGCGGGAGACGATGCTTGGCGAGGGGACTGCGGTGGTTGCGGCCGGGCCGGATACTCAGTGCGCGTTTGCTAGGGATGGGGGTCAGCGGCAAGGCAGAGGTGGGCATCGTAGCAGGGTGGAGTGCGCCGGTTCAGATGATAACCGACTCGCCCCTGTTTTCGGACGATGCTAGCACCTGGGCAGGGTGCTTTTTCACTCCCAAGAAATGGGTTGCTGAAAGCAGCGCGGGTGATGTGGGGAATGCCTACGATTGGCTTGCCGGGCTGCTTTACGGCGAGGCGAAGGAGAGGTTCGCAGCGATGGATGCGCTGGCGGGCGAGGTGGTCCCTGGGAGCGAGGGGACTCAGGCGATTTTGGGGAGCGCGAGGACGAAGTTCAGCAGACCCGGCATGAGGACTGGCGGCTTTAATTTTCCAGTGCCTCTTACGCTGAGCGGCAGGGGTCGCGGACATTTCGCGCGGGCGGCGTTGGAGTCGGCGGCTTACGGCATGAAGGCGAATCTGGATTACCTTGAATCACTTGCCGGGCATTCGGCGGTATCAGTAGCGCTGGGCGTGGTATGACGCGGACATGGACGTTTGCGCCGATAGTTGCGGATGTGCTAGGCAGGGAGATATTGGTGGCGCCCTCACCGCACTCAAGCGCAGTTGGCGCGTGGATGTGCGCTGCCACCGCTACCGGCAGGTTTCAACATCTGGACGAGGCAGCGGATTGGGCGAGAGAGCGGATGCGTTCAGTCGAGCCTGACGCCTATACTTCGGCAGAATATCAGGGAATATTACCGGCACTGGCTGGAATTGTCGGAGCGGCTTGATGGCATCAACTTGTGATGGTCGACCGATGGAATTGAAGTGGCAAGAAGAGCGGCAGGCGGTACTGGCTGCGGCGCAAAGGATGGCGGCGCGCGGTCTGACCGTCGGCACGAGCGGCAATGTGAGCATGCGGCTGTCGGCTGATGTGGAGGGCAAGGAACTGATGGGAATCACGCCATCGGGAGTTGCTTATGACAGGCTGCGCTTAGGGGACATTCTTGTTACGGACATGGACATCGAGCCGGTGGACGGGGAGGGCATACCTTCGAGCGAGTCGCTGCTGCACGCGGAGATATACGGGAGGCGGAGCGATGTGGGCGCGGTAGTTCATACGCATTCTCCATACGCTACAGCTGCCGCCGTGGCCGGCGTTGACATACCTCTTATCATTGACGAGATGGCTCTGGTGATCGGTGGCGCGGTGAAAGTGTCTGAGTACGCATTTCCGAGCAGCGATGCGCTTGCGGCGAACGTCTGCGATGCGCTTGGTAGGCGCAATGCTGCGCTGATACGCAATCACGGCGTGGTCGGTGTTGGCGCGGATCTGGATGAGGCGCTGCGGGTGTGCGAACTCGTGGAGCATGCGGCGCGTGTGCTGGTGTACGCTTCGACGCTTGGCAAGGTGACAACGTTGCCTGCCGATGTAGTCGAGGCCGAGGCGGCGCTGTTCGAGATGCGGCGCAAGAGTCTTGAAACTTAGATTGACTTTATGGAGGCGAATGGCGAATGGTGAGCGTGCCTGGGTTTCTGCTGAAGAGACTGTACCAAAGGGGCAGTCTGAAGAATAACGACACCGGGTTTGAGTTTCAGCTTGGAAACCGCCTGGGGTCCGGGTACGCGCACGGGATGCTGCCTGTGGCGGTTGACGGAGAAGAAACGGCGCTTGGCAGCGCGGTGTTCATATTGGACGGCGCTGCCACGGCGTTCGACGCGGTGAGCAGGGAGAACACATTCACGCTGGCGATGAACAAGACCATCATCGTGCGCGTGGAGGGGACGCACTTGTCAGAGGGGGCGCACACGATCGGCATGGGATTCGAGGTGCCGGGACTTGGTACGCTGAAGTTCGACTTTACCGATGTGGTCGAGTAGCTATGCGATTTCGGCGCATTGCGGTAACGGGCGCTTCAGGGTATTTGGGTCGTCTGCTGGTGAACAGGCTTGCGGCATCTGAGGGCGTGGAGCGTGTGCTTGGGATTGACATTCGCCCAATGTTCGGGATTGACAGGTCGCCCGTGAGGCGTGAACTTCCATCGAGCGTGGTGTTCGCTGAACGCGATGTTACGGAGCCTATTGCTGACTTGCTTATCGAGCATGGGATCGAGGCTGTGGCGCATCTTGCGATTCGTGCTGCAGCCGGACCGAAATGCCGAGCGCGCGGGCAGAGTGAATGTGGGCGGGGCTCGAGTGTACTCAGCGCATGCGCTGCGGCTGGTGTGCGCCATCTGCTGTACATGAGCAGCGCGACGGTTTATGGGGCGCATGCGGATAACCCGCCTATGCTGACCGAGGATGCGCCGTTGCGTCCTGTACGCGGATTTCAGTATTCAGGTGGGGGTGGGGGTGGGGGGGGTGGTGGGTGGGGGGGGGGGGGGGGGGAGGGGTGGGGGGGCGGGAGGGGGGGGAGGGGGGGGCGGCGGGCCGGCGGGGGAGGGTGGAGGCGAGAGGGGAGTGAGGGGCGGGGTGGAGGGGTGGGGGGGGGGGCTGGGGGCCCGGGGAAGGGGGGTACGGGGGGGAATGGTCGGGGTTGGGGGGGGGGGGGGGGGGGGGGAGGGGGGGCGGGGGTGGGGCGGACGGGCGGGGGACGCGGCGGGGGTGGGGGGGGGAGCCGGGGGGGGGGGGGGTGGGTGGGGGGGGGAGGGGGGGGAGGGGAAGGGGGGGGGAGGGGGGGGGGGGGTAGGGGGGGGGGCAGGGGGGGGGCGGGGGGGGGGGAGGGCGGGGGAGGACGGCGAGGGGGGGGGAGGGGGAGGCTGGAGGGGAGGAGAGGGGGGGGGGGGAGAGGAGGGGGGCGGGAGCGATCCTAAAACAAAAAAAAAAAAACCAAAAAAAAACCCAAAAAAAAAAAAAACAACAAAAAAAAAAAAAAAAACACAAACACAAAAAAACACAAAAAAACAACAAACAAAAACAACAAAAAAAAAAACTATACAAACCCACAACGTGTTGTTGTGGATGTTCGGGTTTTGGTGTTGGGGTTGTAACCCTCAAAAAAAACAAAAAAAAAAAAAAAAAAAAAAAACCAAAAAAAAAAAAAAAAAAAAAAAAAAAAAAAAAAACAACACATAAAAAATAAACAAAAAAATAAAAACAAAAAAAAAAAAAAAGAAACCAAACAAAAAAAAAAACAAAAAATAAAAAAATAAAAAAAAAAAACAAAAAAAAAAAAAAAAATAACAAAAGAAAAAAAAAAAAAAAAAAAAAAAAAAAACAAAAATAAAAAAATAAAAAAAAAAAAATAAGAAAAAAACAACAAGGGGGGGGGGGGGGGGGGGGGGGGGGGGGGGGGGTGGGGGGGGGGGGTGGGGGGGGGGGGGGGGGGGGGTGGGGGGGGGGGGGGGGGGGGGGGGGGGGGGGGGGGGGGGTGGGGGGGGGGGGTGTCGGGGGGGGGGGGGTTTTTTTTTTTTTTTTAAGTGTGAAGGGGCTTGCATGAATTCGCAGCGCAGCATCCTGATATTGGAGTGTGCATACTGCGGTCGTGCCCTGTGCTTGGGATTGGCGCGGATAACTTCGTGGCGCGCAGCCTTAGAAGGCGTGTGCTCGTGGCTGCGGCGGGCTTTGATCCGCCAATGCAGTTTCTGCTCGATGATGATGCCGCGGAGATAATGGCGCGCTGCCTGCTGGACGGAATTGCAGGCACTTACAATGTGGGTGGCAGTGGAAGCATACGCTGGAGCGAAATGGCAGAGATTGCGCGGCGGAGGCTGGTCCGGCTACCTGCGCCGCTCCTTTATGCGGCAATGGAAATTTCATGGAGGCTGCGGCTTCAGAGCAGTTCGCCGGGGAGCGGGCTGGATTTCATCAGGTATCCGTGGATCGTCAGCGGAGAGAGGCTGGAGCGTGAGTATGGGTTGGCGGCGCGGCGCAGTTCGCTGGATGCGTGGGAGGCGTTTGTGTCTTACGGCGTCACTAGGCGACAATGGTCTGGACGTTTTTGAACGAATCAGAGAGGATAGACAAGGAATGAAGTGCATAATTGATACTGACCCGGGCGCGGATGATGTGCTGGCGCTGATTATGGCGCTGAACAGCCCTGAATTGGAGATACTTGCGCTGACGACTGTGGAGGGTAACGCGAGGCTGGAGCATACGACGGCGAACGCACTGCGGCTCCTTGCGTATATGGGGCGGTCGGATATTCCGGTGTATGAGGGTGAGTCCATGCCGTTAGAGGGTGAGTTTCATCATGCCTACGAGGTGCATGGAACGGACGGCCTGACCGTGCGATTGCCGGATACTGAGGTCGTTCCCGCAGACGGGAATGCGGTGGACTTTATTATTGAGACCGCGCTAGCGTCGCCGGGCGAGGTAACGCTGTTCGCGCTGGGGCCCTTGACGAATGTGGCAAGGGCGCTGATTCGGGAGGAGCGGCTGAAGGATGCTTTGAAGCGGGTGTATGTGATGGGCGGTACGGGCGGTTCTTCGGGGAATGTTACTCCATACGCGGAGTTCAACATTTATGACGATCCACATGCGTCGAATGTGGTATTCGGGTCGGGCGCGCCTGTCACGCTGCTTGGGCTAAATATAACCCGTCAGACTTCGATTGCGCGGGACGATGAGAACTGGTTCACCGGCGAGACTCCCGGAGAAAGGCTGGCGGCTCGGATTCTGGAGAACTGGTTCGAACTGGGGCAGGGAGAGAGGCGGCGGTTTAGCATGCATGACCCGGTTACGATAATGGCCTCGCTGAGGCCTGAGCTGATACGGACGCAGGCGGCAACGCTGACGGTGGAGACGAAGGGAGAGCATGTAGGCGAGATTACTGCTGACTACGCAAACGGCGGTAGCGTGGATGTGGCGGTAGAGGTGGGAAGCGAGGAGGCGCTGGCGTTTATGCGGGGGTTGTTGAGGGGGTGAGCGAATGAAGGCTGCACCTGCCGAGAAAATTATTGACCTGTGGTGCGGCAGTTGATATATTGCTAATGGGTATTGTTGACTGATTTAATCAACAAAGGTGAATAGTGGTGTTTCCTTTAGGGTGGTTAGGGTAAGTTTCACCCCCATCCTAACCTTCCCCCATCAAGAGGGAAGGAACATTTAATATGAAAGGCAGCGACTATGACGACACAACAGGTCATCTCGCGTGAGACGGGGGTGGAGGAGCAGGCGTATAAGTGGGGCTTCGATTTCGACATCGAGTCGGACATAGCGCCGCGCGGATTGAGCGAGGATATTGTCAGGCTTATCTCGATGAAGAAGGGCGAGCCGGACTGGATGCTGGAGTGGCGGCTGAAGGCGTATCGCCACTGGCTTACGCTGAACAACGAAGAGCCGAAGTGGGCGAATATCAAGTATCCGCCCATAGACTTTCAGGACATCATTTACTACGCGGCTCCGAAGTCGCAAGCGGATGGGCCGCAGAGCCTGGACGACATTGACCCGGAGATACGGGAGGCCTTCGACAAGTTGGGGATACCTCTCCTAGAGCAGAAGCGGCTGACTGGGTGTTGCGATAGATGCGGTGCTGGACAGCGCGTCGGTTGCGACCACATACCGCAAGATGCTGGAGGAAGCGGGCGTCATATTCTGCTCGGTGAGCGAGGCTGTGAAGACGCACCCGGAGATTGTGAAGAAGTATCTCGGCTCTGTGGTGCCCTTATACCGACAATTTCTATGCGCGCGCTCAATGCGGCGTGTGTTCAGCGACGGGTCGTTCGTGTATGTGCCGCCTGGAGTGCGCTGCCCGATCGAGCTGATGACCTACTTCCGCATCAACGAATTGGACACGGGACAGTTCGAACGGACGCTTATCATCGCGGACAAGGGCGCTTATGTGAGCTATCTCGAAGGGTGCACGGCTCCGATGCGGAAGACGCACCAGCTTCATGCCGCCGTGGTCGAACTGATTACGCTGGATGACGCGGAGATAAAGTATTCGACGCTTCAGAACTGGTATCCGGGAGACAAAGAGGGCAACGGCGGCGTCTATAACTTCGTGACGAAGCGGGGCGCGGCGCGCGGCAAGAACTCCAAGATTTCGTGGACGCAGGTGGAGACCGGCTCTGCAATCACCTGGAAGTATCCGAGCGTGATACTGCAGGGCGACAACTCGGTGGGCGAGTTCTACTCGGTGGCGCTGGTGAACAACTATCAGCAGGCCGACACCGGCACGAAGATGATCCACATTGGCAAGAACACGAAGAGCACGATAATCGCCAAGGGCATATCGGCTGGCAAGGCGCAGAATACGTACAGGGGGCAGGTGAAGATAATGCCCTCGGCGCGGAATGCGCGGAACTTCACGCAGTGCGACTCGCTGCTTATCGGCGACGACTGCGGCGCGCATACGGTGCCGTATATCGAGGTGCGAAATCCGACGGCGCAGATGGCGCACGAGGCGACGACATCGAAGGTTGACGACAGCCAGCTGTTCTACTTGCAGCAGCGGGGCATTGGCCTTGAAGAGGCTAACTATATGATAATCAACGGCTTCTGCCGGGGTATTTTCAAGGAGCTGCCCTTTGAGTTTGCGGCGGAGGCGTCGCAACTGCTTAGGGTTAATCTGGAGGGCACGGTAGGCTAAGAATGACACAGGCAAATGGGAACGACACACCGCTTTTGGAAGTTCGGAATCTGGAAGTGTCCATCGGGGACACGCAGATTCTGAAGGGCATAAGCCTCACGGTGAATATCGGCGAGGTGCATGCGATTATGGGGCCGAACGGCTCGGGCAAGAGCACACTGGCGAATGTGCTGGCGGGCAGGCCGGAGTACAAAATCACCGGCGGCGAGGTGCTCTACAAGGGGCAGAACCTCTTGGCGATGGCTCCGGAGACGCGGGCGCGCGAGGGCGTGTTCCTGGCGTTCCAGTATCCCGTTGAGTTGCCGGGCGTGCGCTCGTGGCAGTTCTTGAAGACTTCGGTTGACGCGATGCGTCAGCATCGTGGCGAAAAGGAGCTGCGAGTGAGGGAGTTCGACCGGCTGCTTGAAGCCGCGATGGAGACGGTGGAGATTGAGGGCGACCTCGTGCGGCGGTCGGTCAACGAGGGCTATTCGGGCGGCGAGAAGAAGCGCAACGAGATACTACAGCTTGCGCTGCTTAAGCCGACGCTTGCGCTGCTGGACGAGACTGACTCAGGGCTGGACATTGACGCGCTACGCATCGTGTCGAATGGCGTGAATCAGTACAAGTCGAGTGAGCGCGCTATTGTGATGGTCACGCACTACCAGCGGATATTGAACTACATCACGCCGGACTATGTGCATGTGCTGGTTGACGGTAATATCGCGATGTCGGGTGGCCGCGAGCTTGCGCTTGAGCTTGAGGAGAAGGGGTACGAGTGGCTGAGGGAGGAAGTGCCTGCCTAGATATAAACGACAAACTGTCGACATTCTACTAGTAGGCACTATGAGTGCAGATGGCAACCGAAACACGACCGCAAGTTGATGCTGCAGAGGTATATAGCAGGCTTGGGTCGCATTGAAGGCGAGCAGGCCCAGATGAACCTGCGGTTTGACGATATGAACACGCGGCTTGACCGACTGGAGGCAGCGCAGACACGCTTGCTTTATTGGGTTCTTGGAATCGGCGCCGCGATTCTGGCTTCAGTGTGGGTTGGGAATCTGACTGGATAGTATAACTCTTTTGGGACTTGAAGTTGCGGACCATGCGTAAAGCATCCGCAGTGGGAAACTTACAGGCTTTTATGACACAGACACTTACGCGATACGAACAATACACTTCTGACTTTGACTCGCTTGAGGGCGCGGAGCAGCCGGAATGGCTGCGTGATATTCGCGCTGCGGCCTGGGAGCGATTTCTTGCTGTCGGACTGCCGACGGCGCGGCGGGGCAACGAACCGTATAAGTACACGAATGTCGCGCCTATCGCAGGGGCTGAGCTTGCACTGGCTTCGGACGGAGACGGCGAATTAAGCGTGGACGAGTTAAGGCAGATTGCGCCTGTGCATGATGGTGGCGCGCGCCTGGTCTTCATTGACGGGCGGTACTCTGATGGGCTTTCTGATGTGCGAAGCGTTGCGAATGGCATTAGTGTTTCGAGCCTTGCCGACGCAATCGAGTCGGGTAATGGAGCGGTCTCCGGTCATTTGGGGCAGTATGCGGATGTGGAGGAGGACGGATTTATCGCGCTGAACACTGCGTTCATCAGCGATGGGGCATTCATCGAGGTCGAAGAAAATGCTTCGGTGGAATCGCCGCTGCATCTGGTGTTCGTATCGACGGATGGGGCGCAGACGGTTTCGCATCCCAGGGTGCTGGTCGTGGCAGGGCGTGGAAGCAGCGCGACAATTGTGGAGAGCTATGTCGGCGTTCCGGGTAATCGGTGCCTTACTAATTCAGTTGCGGAGATCGTGCTGGAGGATGATGCTACTCTCGACCATTACAGGCTGCTGATGGAGAGCGAGGACGCTTTTCATGTGGGTGTGGCCCGGGTCCATCAGGGCGCTAACAGCAAGTATAACTCCAAGGTGTTCGAGCGGCAGGTTGGGCTGGGCAGGTTTGACCTGTACACGAGCATTGACGGCGAAAATGCTTCGTGCGACCTGAAGGGGCTGTACTTTACCTCCGGCAGGCAGCACATGGACAATTACATCAACATCAATCACGAGAAGCCATTCTGCAGGAGTCGGCTGCTCTATAAGGGCATACTAGATGGCAGATCGCGGGCGGTGTTTGGTGGAACGGTGTATGTGCAGCCGGGCGCGATCAAGACCGATTCGCACCAAGAGGACAAGAACCTTGTTCTTTCACCGTACGCTGAGGTTGACAGTAAGCCTTCGCTATTCATCTATGCTGATGATGTGAAGTGCGGGCACGGGGCTACGGCGGGCAATATAGACCTGGACACGGTGTTCTATATGCGGAGCCGCGGCATTGACTTGGAGACGGCTAGCCGCCTGCTGATATACGGCTTCGCCAGCGAGATTATTGACACGGTCGGGGACGATTATCTCAGAGAGTATCTTGAAGGGTTGTTCCTTGATTCGCTCCCGAGTTACAAGTTCGAGTTTTAGGCTGATATGTACGACTTGCAAGATCTCTACCAAGAAGTGGTGATGGACCATAATCGCAGGCCGCGGAATTTCCGCAAGCCGGAGGACGCGAACCGCCAAGCTGAAGGGTACAATCCGCTGTGTGGGGACCAGATTACGCTGTATCTTGCAGTGGCAGACGATAAGATCGCTGATGTGGGCTTTCAGGCGCAAGGTTGCGCGATCTCGAAGGCGTCCGCTTCGATGATGACCGAGAGTGTTAAGGGACTGTCCCTTGAAGATGCTGAGAAGGTGTTTAAAGAGTTTCGCAGCATGATAACGCTGGAGGACTTTGACCCGGATGTGTTGGGGTGATGCCGAACTGTTGCAAGGCGTGTCGCGGTATCCTGCGCGGATAAAGTGCGCCGCGCTTTCATGGCACGCACTCAACTCATTGCTAGGGCGATAATGAGGGACAGGCTGTTACCACAGAGTAGGCGAATCGGCGGCAATGTGGCTGGGAGAGTGGCCTATGTACATTCCAATTAAGGTCGATTATGGCGTGCGCGCGCTGGTTGATTTGGCGCTATACGGGGCTGGAGGTCCTGTTCGCGCCAGCGAGATAGCCAAGCGCACAGTGATACCTGAGCAGTACCTGGCGCAGGTTTTGCATACGCTGAACAAGAGCGGCTTCACGGGCAGCCATCGAGGTCCCCGCGGCGGTCACTTTCTTGCGATGGAGCCTTCGGATATCAGGCTGAGCAACGTGATGATGAGCCTCGGGGGAACTGAGACGCCTGTCGCCTGCCTTACTGACAACACCATCTGCATTCATTCGCCTGCCTGCGCCCAGCGCGAGGTGTGGCGGACCGTGGCGGAGGCGGTGTTTAACATCCTGGACTCGACCACGATAGAAGACCTGGTAAATAGTACACCTATTTTGCCGGAGCGAGATGATAGTGGTGTGCTGCCGATTAACTTGAAGACAGCAGTGTAAGACAAATCAGTTCATATCAATATGAACCTATAAAAATTAGCCTATCAATCAGGGAGGGTTAGAATGGCTTTTCAGAGAGTTGCGAGCGTGAGCGACATACCGCCGGGCGTGACCAAGGTATTCGAGGTCGGGGACAGAGCGGTTGCCGTATGCAATGTGAGCGGCGACTTGTACGCTATCGAGGATGTATGCACTCACGACGGTTCGTCATTTGAACAGGGCGAGCTTGACGGCTGCGAGATCGAATGCCCGAGGCACGGCGCTCGCTTTGATGTGAGGGATGGTTCGGCTACTGAATTGCCTGCCGTCGTTCCGGTTGACACCTTTGCGGTGCGGGTCGAAGGTGATGACATTGAGGTTGACGTTTAACCTTGTAATCCGGCCAGTACGGCACGGCAGGTAGAATTATGCTAGATGTGAGGAAGATCCGAGAGGACTTTCCCGTCCTTTCCAAGAAAGTCTATGACGGCATCCCCTTTGGTGTGGCTAGACTCGGCTGCGACTTCGCAAAAGCCGCGTCAAGTCATTCAGGCGCTCGTGGACTATTACGAGGGTTACAACGCGAATGTTCATCGCGGGGTGCATGCCCTTAGCATGGAATCCACGGGGCGATATGAAGAGGCGCGGCAGAAAGTCGCGGACTTCGTAAACGCGGAGAGCGCGAAGTGCCTGATATGGACGCGTAACACGACCGAGGGAATCAATCTTGTCGCCAACAGCTGGGCGATGGACAATATCAAGCCCGGCGACGAGATTGTCGTTACTGCGATGGAGCATCACAGTAACCTTGTGCCTTGGCAGCAGATTGCAAAGAAAAAGGACGCTAAGCTGAGGATTCTGCCGCTTGCGGATGACCACACGCTCGATATGGATGCTGTTGACCGGATAATCGGGCCGCGAACTCGATTGTTAGCGATGTCGCATGAGTCTAACGCAGTAGGCACCATCAATCCTGTTAAGGAGCTTGCCGCTAAAGCCCGTGCCGTTGGCGCTGCTGTACTTGTTGACGGGGCGCAGAGCGTTCCGCACATGCCGGTTGATGTGCAGGACATAGACTGTGATTTCCTTGCGTTCTCCGGACATAAGATGCTGGGACCAACCGGTATCGGTGGATTGTACGTGAAGCTTGACGTTCTGGAGCAGATGACACCATTCCTGACCGGCGGCGAGATGGTGCTTGCGGTGACATACGAAGACGCGACGTGGGACGACCTGCCGATGCGCTTCGAGGCGGGAACGCCTAACATCGCTGATGCGATTGGGCTGGGCGCTGCCGTTGATTACCTTAACGCACTAGGAATGGACAATGTGCGCGAGCACGAAGTCAGCCTAACCAGATACGCGCTTGACGCCTTCAAAGAGCTCGAAGAGGAGCTGGATGTTTACGGGCCGAAAGATGCGGAGAAGCGCGGTGGAATAGTGTCGTTCCATCATCCGGATGTGCATCCGCACGATCTTGGAACTGTCCTTGACAGGCGCGGCATCGCCATTCGGACAGGCCATCACTGCGCTATGCCGATGGTGCGGAGTCTGGGGGTGCCGGCGACCGCGAGGGCGAGCATGTACCTGTACAACACGGAGGAAGAGGTTGATTTGCTCGTTGATGCGCTTAAAGAGGCGTTGAGGTATTTCGGCAATGGAGCTAAATAGGCTTGATGGCCTGTATCGAGACGCTATTCTCGACCACCGCCGCAATCCGAGAAGACCATAGAGCGTCTGAGCGCGCCGGACATTGAGGGCGATGCCATCAATCCTTTTTGCGGGGATGAGATACACCTGCAAATGACACTTTACGATGGGCGGGTTACAGGTGTGGGACTGCAAGGGCGAGGGCTGTTCCATCAACCTTGCGGCAGGCTCGATGCTCGCCGAGGTGATACAGGGCAAGGCGCTGAATGACGTTGACGCGCTGGTTGGGCTGTATCGCAGGATGATGCGGGGTGACGCTGAGGCGGAGGCAGCGCTTCGTAGTGAAGGCGACCTATCGAATCTCGCCGGTGTGCGAGACTATCCTGTGAGAATCAAGTGCGCGCTGTTGCCGCTGTCTGCTCTGACGCAGGGTATCGAGTGCTACAAGGGTAAGACTGGCTGAAGTGTTGTCCAAGGAGTGAGCCTCAGCCCGCTTACTTTGGATTTACAGAAGTTTGCCTGTCTGCGCCAGTGTCTCATGTGAATGGCCATTCCTGTTGGCGCCGCCCATAAGCCTGCTGATTTCTGCGTCCGACAGGGAGATGCTGCTCTCACTTTCCTTTGCAACCGCCGCTTGTTGGCCGCTGCCGACGCCCGTGCCTATGAGGGTGATACCGACGCGCTTTTTCATCCGGCGTTCCTGAACGACGCCGAAGATTACGTTAGCGTCCGAATTCGCCGCCTTACGAACAATCTCTGCTACTTCATGCACCTGACCGAGCGTGAGGTCCTTGCCGCCTGTGACATTGAAAAGGATTCCGGTCGCGCCCTCTAATGGCGCGTTGAAGAGCGGGTTTGCGAGTGCGGAACGCGCCGCTTCTATGGCAGCCCACTTGCCTTTGCCCTCACCGTATGCCATAAACGCCGCTCCGCCGTTGCCCATAACTGAGCGTACATCGGCGAAGTCCACGTTAATCATGCCCGGCACGGTTATGATGTCGGAGATTCCCTTCACGCCCTGACGCAACACATCGTCAGCGGCGTCAAACGCTCGTTCAAGCGTTACTGTGCCTTTGAGCGAGGGGAGCAGCCTGTCGTTCTCCACAACTATGAGCGTGTCCACCTTTTGCTTGAGGCTGCGGAGGCCCTGTTCTGCAACTTCACGGCGGCGCGAGCCTTCAAACGAGAAAGGCAGTGTGACCACGCCGACGGTGAGCGCCCCCTTTTTGCGAGCGATGTCGGCGACTGTCGCGGATGCGCCGGTTCCGGTGCCGCCGCCCATCCCCGCGGCTATAAAGACCATGTCCGAGCCTTCGAGGAGCTCGCCTATATGTTCTTGGCTCTCCTTTACGGCGCGACGGCCGACTTCGGGGCGTCCGCCGGAGCCCATGCCGTTTACGGTGTCGGGGCCGATGGCGTATGAAGGTATCGACTTGAGATGCGCGAGTGCCTGAATGTCCGTGTTGAGAACGAGGGCGTCAACCTGTGTGAGTCCGTTTGTGACCATGCGGGACACGGCGTTGCCGCCGGCTCCACCGACTCCGACAACTTTCACTTTAATGTCAGATGATGGGGATTGCATTGACGGGAAACCTTGCGGCTTCTTGCCGAATGCGAATGATTGGATGATGTATTCCAGCATAGGATCAGCCTCACTTGCTCGGAAGTCTGTATGTTATGCGGCGCGCGGATTAAGTTGCTTATGCCGCTTCTGGGAGAGTCAGGAAATTGTAGGGAATGTTCCACACACCGGATTTGCCCATATCGACGACAGCCTTGCGCCTAAGGGCCTCAGTGACGACTCCGGCGCTGCCGAACCTGGGACCGCCATGGATGTTGCCCATATAGACGACTTGCTGGCCAACGTGGATGCTGCAGCAGGTTGCGGACTTTGCCGGGCTGCGCTTGGCATGAATGCCGGGAAGCCCGAGCTGTCGGATGTTCGTGGCGTCTCTTGTGTCGAGCATGGAAGCCTTACCCCCTTGTCCTTGGATAGAACATATCTCTTACAGAACATATTAGAACAGAACGAGAGTTCCTGTCAACACTATTTTGGAAAATCGGGTTAAATTGCCTAGAAATGCCCGAAAGGGCGTTGTCTTCGCGTCTTTAGAGGGGGCTGTTGTGGTCGTTCTTGCGGGCTTTGTGGGAGTCCTGGAGCGGGAACTGCTGAGCATATCTGAGTTAGAATTTCCTGCTTTATCCGTTTTGTATTGCATTCGTATAAGTGGTAAAATCCTGCTTGCAGATTAGCGAATGCGATGCATTGCCGCGTTTACCCGGCGGTATGTGATGCTGAATGTCCGAACAGCGAAAGAGGTGGAGATATGAGACTTGAAGGCAAGGTTGCTCTGATAAGCGGGGCCGCTCGCGGACAGGGCGCGATGGAGGCACGACTGTTTGCTCAGGAGGGTGCCGCTGTCGTGATTGCGGACATCCTTCAGGACGAGGGCAAGCAAGTCGAAGCCGAGATTAATGAATCGGGCGGCAGGGCGTTGTTCGTGAACCTGGATGTTACAAGCGCTGACGACTGGCAGGCAGCGGTAGCCAAGGCGGTCGAAACCTTCGGCAAGATGGACATCCTGGTGAACAATGCAGCGATATACAGCCGCGTTCCCATAGAGCATGCCTCAGAAGAGGAGTGGGACAGCATAATCGATATAAACCTGAAGGGCGTGTTCCTGGGCACCAAGCATTCAATCGCGGCAATGCGTGATGCGGGCGGCGGCTCGATCATCAACATTTCGTCCACTGCCGGACTTGTGGGCAGTCCGCGAGGGGGAGCTTACACAGCGTCGAAGGGTGGCGTGAGGCTGTTCACGAAGAACACGGCGATTCAGCTTGCGCCGGATGGTATTCGCGCAAACTCCATTCATCCAGGCCCGATAGACACAGAGATGATTGCTGACAATATCGGCACACCGGAGGGACTGGCAGCGTCCGTTGAGCGTGTTCCACTGGGCAGGATAGGTACGGTTGACGATGTGGCATACGGAGCGCTGTTCCTCGCGTCGGATGAGGCGTCATTTATGACCGGCTCTGAACTCGTGATAGACGGCGGCGTTACGGCGCAGTAGTCAGAGGACAACTTTCAGTCCCCGGTCGTTTGGGGACCATGCCTTCCGGTTTCCTAATTTAGAAGCATATTGGAGAACAGTTTTCACTTTTTCCAGCGCTTCGGCTAGAAAAGGATTGCGTATTGGCAACATTCACGGCACAGGTTGAGTTGGATGTGAACGGCAGTGTTCACGATATTGAAGTCGGACATCACTGGACGTTGCTGCGCGTACTGCGTGAATCACTTGGGCTGACAGGAGCGAAGCGCGGCTGCGACAGGGGTGAGTGCGGAGCATGCACGGTGCTGCTTGATGGCAAGCCGGTTTACGCCTGCCAGATGCTTGCGGTGCAGGCTGTGGGACGCAGCATCACCACGATTGAGGCGCTGGGCGAGAGCGACAAGTTGCATCCGATTCAGCAGGCGTTTCTGGACAATGACGGCGGGCAGTGCGGGTACTGCACCCCTGGCTTCGTCATCAGCGCCAAGGCACTGCTGGATACAACGCCGAAGCCCACTGAAGAGCAGATACGGCAGGCGCTGTCCGGGAACCTGTGCAGATGCAACGCGTACGGGCGGATTATCGAATCTGTTAAGCAGGCGGCGGTGAGCAATTGAATTCAAACGCAGTTATAGGCACCTCTGTTGCGCGACGGGACCTGCCGCAGAAGCTTACGGGAGAGGCGAAGTACACCAGCGACATCTATTTGCCGGGAATGCTAGTTGGCAAGGTGGTTCGCAGCCCGCATCCTCACGCCCGCATTCTCAGCATAGACACTTCGGCTGCGGAGAGTCTGCCCGGCGTCCATGCCGTTCTGACGCCGTTTGATGTGCCTCAGGGCAGGCTTGCTCCCGATCTGCCCATCCTCGATACGGTGGTGCGCTATGTGGGCGACGAGGTGGCTGCGGTTGCGGCGGATGACGAGGACCTCGCGGAGTATGCGGCGAGCCTGATGAAGATAAGCTATGAGCCGCTGCCGTTCGTCACTACACCACGAGAAGCCATGGAGCCGGACGCGGCGCGTGTGCATCCCGAAGGCAATCTTGTCGGCGGGGAGCCGCTGGCGCTCACTCGCGGAAATGTTGATGAGGGCTTCGAGCAAGCCGACCGCATTTTCAGCATGTCTTACAGTACGCCTTCACATTCGCCTGCGCCGCTGGAACCCAGGGCGGCTGTGGCGATGTGGGAGGGCGAGAAGCTGACGATCTGGAAGACTACGCGGGGAGTGCATGCGGACAGGATGAGTCTCGCGTCGGCGCTGGGGGTTGAGCGCAATGCGGTGCGCGTGATCGGGGCTACGCTGGGCGCAGGGTATGGTGGCAAGGATGAGTCGCGGCTGTCGGTCATCACCGCCGAACTGGCGCGTAGGGCGGGCAAGCCTGTGAAGATAGAGGCTACGCGGGAAGAGGAGTTTCTGGCGGGAAGGAAGCGTCATTCGACTGAGACGACCGTGAAAGTCGGCGTGAAGAATGACGGCACGGTTACCGCAGTTACACGCGACTACGCTGATGGACACGGGCGCGTACCTGGCATCGGGGCCGGGCGTGGTCAGGCGAGCGGGTCAGGGTGCGCTTTATCTATATCACTGCCCGAATGTGCGATATGACGGCTATCTTGTCTACACGAATCAGCCGTCGGCAGGGGTCGTACAGGGCGCTTGGAGCGCCACAGGGACACTTCGCTCTTGAAGTCACGATGAACCACATCGCGGATGAGCTTGGGATAGACCCGCTTGAGTTCCGGCTGCGGAACCATGTGGGCATTGAGGGACAGCCCGGAGAGCGAGTAACGCCCGCAAACGAGATAATCGATACACAGCCTGTTGAGGGGGGCATACCCTTTTCCTCGAACGGGTTGCGGGAATGTCTCGAAAAGGGCGCGGAAGCATTTGGCTGGCAGACAGACACTGCAGAGCGTTCGCAGTCCGCGGAGCATCTGAAGACCGGCAGCGGCATGTGTATGTTCATCTATCGCGGAGGGCCGGGCAGCAGGTCTTCGGCGCGATTGAGGCTGAACTCAGATGGAAGTGTGCAGCTCATTGCGGGTCTGATGGATGTTGGCGAGGGCAGTCACAACCGTTATAGCGCAAATCGCGGCTGAAGCCATCGGTGTGTCCTACGATAGTGTGCGTGTAACTTTTGGCGACACGGCTGATACACCTGAAGCGCCAATTACGGCGGGCTCAACGGCGACATTCTCTACCGGCTCGGCTGCTGTACAAGCGGCGGGAGAGCTAAAAGCGAAGATTCTAAGCCTTGTCGCTACTCATCTGGACGATGATGTCAGCAGGCTCGATATCGTGGACGGGAGCGTTGTATCTGAGGACGGGAATGTGCAATTGCCGCTTGCCGACATAGCTGCGCTTGCTGGTGAGGAGACTCTCCAAGTCGAGGCGTCGGTGATGCCGGGCAGCAGGGACTATATCGTGAACTCGTTCGGAGCGCACTTCGCTGAGGTGGAGGTGGACACCGAGACGGGCAGTGTTCGCGTGCTACGCTATGTGGCGGCGCACGATTCCGGGCGCATTCTGAACCCCCAGTTGGCTACAAATCAGGTTGAAGGCGGCGTGTCGCAGATGCTGGGATTCACGCTGTCGGAGGAGATGCTGACCGATCCTCAGAGCGGCGTGACGTTGAACGGCAGCTTCTTGGAGCACAAGAGTCCGACCGTTCAGGAGTACCCGCCGATTCAGGTGATATTCGCGGATGTAGTCGATCCAATAGGGCCGTTCGGGGCCAAGGCATTAGGTGAGCCGCCGAGTATCGGCGCCGCACCAGCAATCATCAACGCGATATATGACGCGGTGGGTGTGCGCATCACCAACTTGCCTGCGACGCCTGACAAGATTCTGAACGCGCTGAGCGCGCAGGGCGAGGTATAGGGGCTGATGAGAGCGTTCGAATTTGCACCGGCAAGCAGTCTTTCCGAGGTGTCCGAACTGCTGACGTCCGATGGGCAGTCAGCAAGGGTGATTGCGGGCGGGACGGATTTGCTTGGCGAAATCAAGGAAGGCGTAGTCGGTCCTAGGCGACTTGTGAGCCTGCAAGAAATTGCGGATCTCAGAAACGTTCGAGTGTATATGGATGGTGTGCTGATCGGGGCGATGGCAACTATTGCGGATGTCGGGGCGCATACTCTTATACAATCCAGCTACGCCGCGCTTGCCCAGGCTTGCGATTCGGTCGCTACTCCTCAGATTCGCAATGTGGGAACGATAGGGGGCAACCTGTGCCAGCGTCCACGCTGTTGGTACTATCGCAGCCCTCTGTTTGACTGCCGCAAAAAGGGAGGGGAGCATTGCTTCGCTCTTGAGGGAGCCAATAAGTTCCATGCAATCTTCGGTTCCAAGGTCTGTCCGGCTGTGCATCCGTCGGATACCGCTGTTGCACTTACTGCGTTGGATGCGAGGGTGCTGCTAGTTTCGTCGGATGGGCGCGCGCATGCTGCCAATCGAGGATTTCTTCGTTGATCCCGATCGAGATGTGACTACTGAGAATGTGCTGCAAGAAGGCGAGATACTCGCAGAGGTCGTGATTCCACCGGCTTCGCCACGTTCACGCAGCGTGTACCTGAAGGCGAAGGAGCGGCAAGCGATGGACTTCGCGCTGGCGAGTGTGGCGCTGGCGGTTGACGTGGCTAATGGCACGGTTTCAGAAGCTCGCCTTGTGCTTGGAGGCGTAGCGCCCGTGCCATACAGGGTGCATGGGGTGGAGGATGCTCTTGCCGGCATGCGGACAGACGAGATAGACGCAGCACAGGTTGGTCGCATTGCAGCGGAGGGAGCGATGCCTCTGTCTGATAACGGCTACAAGGTGCGGTTGGTGTCGGGATTGGTGGCGCGTGCGGTGAGGACATTGTTGACCGGAGAAGAGCGAGAGGGCGCGTCTCAGTGAGCCGTGGTGTTTGTCATCCGCCCAATATGCTGGAGCACTTTGAGGCCGCGCTTGGCGGCTTGACGGGAGACAGGCTTGGGTTGGTGCTGGACTTTGACGGAACGCTGTCCGAATTTGTGCCTGATCTCGACAAGGCCGTCATTAGCTGCGATGTTGTCCCGCCGCTGCTAGGTCTTGCCAGAAAACTCACGCTGACTGCCGCGATGTCGGGCCGCGCCGCCCGCGACCTGGAGCAGCGCGTGGGCATCGATGGCCTAGTTTACATTGGCAATCACGGCGCGGAGCGCATTTTGGACGGCGCGCTCAGCGTGGCAGAGGAAGCAGAGAGTTCTGAGTCTGACTTGCAGGCGCTGCTTGAAAGATTGGGAAGCGCTGCCAATGACCCCGGCATAGTGCTTGAGAACAAAGCGTACAGCGCATCCTTGCACTATCGGCGCGCGTCCGACGAGGCCGGTGTGAAAGAGCGTTTGCGATCTGCGCTGGGCGATATACCCAAGTCAGAAGACCTGGAATTCTTCTGGGGCAACAAGATACTGGAGATTCGGCGCAGGAACGGCGTGAATAAGGGTATTGCCCTGGATAGGGTGATCCGTGACTGGCAACTTGACGTCGTAATCTTCGCCGGAGACGATACTACGGACGCGGACGCCCTTCGCGTACTTCAGCAACGAAAGGCACCAGGGGATGTGGACGGATTGGGCATTGCGGTCATTCAGGACGGCACGCCCTCGTCTGTGCTGGATAACGCCGATTACAGCCTCAACGGAGTATCGGAGGTTGCGACTTTCCTCAGCCGACTGGATGCTGCAATCGGCTGAGGCATAAGGCCGACGGGTACGCTGTGACGGCTAGAAGATTGCGATTGGGTTGACGGGAGAACCGGTGGCGTTGGACAGGCGCAGCGGGTTGATGGTTAGCATGAACTCCCACCTGTTGCGCTCCCGACACGCTGCCGCAAGCTCTTCGAGGTTGGGGTTGTCCAGAATCCACAGCCCCATTGCGACGATGCCGACCTGATGAATGGGATTGGACATGCTGGCGTACTGGCTCGGCATGACGTCATTGCCCGTGTCGCTCCCTAGTACGGCGATTCCTCGCTCATGAAACAGAGGGAGACACGCCGCCTGACACGCGGGCGAGCCTGCTTCGCGGGGGATTGACCGGACCTTCGACATTGCGGCGGTGCAGGTTGCCGGTGCGGACCAGCAGCACATCGCCCTCTTCGATCGTGAATCCGCAGCGCTTCTTCGGCGGCAAGTATGTCTTCTGGGCATCACGCCTCGCCGCGCTCTATCCAGTCAACACCTCGAATCATCGGCGCGTCCACGAGGACGCCGCGACTCGCGACACCGTTTCCGGCAAGCTCAATCGACTCTACTGTTGCGCCAAGCCCAGTGGATACGAGGTGCGGCGGACGCCCGTTGTACATCTTGCCCTGCCAGAAGAAGTGGGCGAGGCTGTCCATGTGCGTGATGTGAAAGCCGTGGAACGCCATGCCGAAGAAGTCGGTGGCGGCCTGACTGGGGCGGTTCGTCACCTTGTCACCGCTTGCCCAGCCCTCGCCGCTCTCCAGCATGAAGTGGAGAGGCGTGGCCATGTGGTCGGCTTCAGGCGTCCATGTAACTGTTCGTGAGCATGACACGGTTGTGCCCTCCTGAATCAGAGACGCAGCTTGCAGCGTCTTTTCCTTTGAGAGCAAGTTGAGCGTGCCGTGCTGGTCGTCTTCGCCCCAGCGTCCCCAGTTGGACAGCTTGTCGAAGTAGCTAAGGACCTCTTCTTCGCTCGGTATTTGTGCTGGCATTTTTCTCCTTTGCATAAAAGCTTGGGGTGCTAGATTTAATGGCAATCTAAGGCAGTTAAACGCATGTGTGTTCGCGCGTAAGTATAACTGCAACCTGTGTGGATGTCATTTGCCGTCAGCTCGATGCACTGATGACAACTGCTGGCTTCCGAGGCCTTGTTGGTGGAATTAGGTGGTCGCGTGTCCCCGCCGCAGTGCTCGGCCAGAGAGGGCGCCGGTATTCTCGCCGTTTTCGATGACGACCTTGCCATTCACAATGACGTAGTCAATGCCTATCGGGTAGTGATGCGGGTCTTCTCGAGTGGCGTGGGTCTTGACTGTGGCGGGGTCGAAAACAACGATGTCCGCCTTGAAGCCGTCTCGCAGGATACCTCTGTCCGGCAGTCCGAGGCGTTGGGCCGGGAACGATGTCATCTTGCGAATCGCTTCGGAGAGGCGCAGGTGCTTCTCGGCGCGGACGAACTCAGCCAGAACTATCGGGAAGCAGCCGTAAGTACGCGGGTTGGGGTATTCGCCGAATAGGATAGCATCGGATGCAATCATGCCAGCAGGGTGGGACACAAAGGCGGACAGCGTCTGTGGGTTCGTGCCCAATCCAACCGTCGAGATGCCGAGGTTTTCTTCCAGCAGCAGGTCGAACAGAGCCTCAGCAGGCTCTTGCCCGCGCATCTCGGCTATGTCAGTGATCAGCTTGCCTTCGTATTGCTTGTTCTGAGGTTGCGTGAAGTTCGTGAGCCAGTTGTCTCTGAGTCTATCTGCGGATATTTCCAGTGCCATTCTGGAGCGGTCGCGCGGGTCGCGCAACGCGGCCATCAGCCTTTCAGGACCGCCGTCTTTCGCCCAGTGCGGCAGTCCCTATGGTGATGGTCGTGCCTGAGTACGGATAGGTGTAGCAGTCGAAGGTAACATCCATGCCCTCAGCGCGAGCGTCCTCGACGAGGCCAAGGTATTCCAAGTGGCTGCCGACTCCCTGCTCGCTCTGGCGATAGTGCGTCAGGTGGATCGGGGATATCTGAGCGCCTGCCAATCTCGATTGCCTCTTCCCATGGGGCAAGCAACCCCTGGGAGCGCAGGCTGGCGCGCGTGTGCGTGTGGTAGAAACCGCCGAGGCTTGCTGCCGCTTCGGAAAGCTCCACAAGTTCGTCTGTTGGCGCGTATGCGCCGGGAGGGTAGTCGAGTCCTGTGGACAGACCCCATGCGCCTTCTTCCATAGCCTCACGCACTACTGCTCGCATGTCTGCCATCTCAGCAGAGGTGGCGGGCCTGTCGTTCCAGCCTACGGACCATATTCGCACCGGCGAGTTGCCAAGTATGTATGCGACGTTGATGGCGACTGCATTGTCGAACTTGCCGAGATAATCTGCGACCGTCAGCCAGTCCGCAGGCATTGGAGGGTAGCCGTTCAGCCCGGAGTCCAGCCAGATGTAGCGGTTAAGCTCATCCTGAGTCTTGAACGGCGCGTGTGAGATTCCGTCTATGCCCACGAGTTCGGTGGTTACGCCCTGCCTCACCTTTGGGTCGTGTGCGGCGCGCCCAAAATGGTCAGTCCCGCGTGTGAGTGCAGGTCGATGAACCCTGGGCAGACTACATGACCAGTTGCATCGATGACTCGAACGGCTTCCAAGCCGGATACATCGCCCCTGTGGACGGAAACTGAGTCGCCTTGAACTCCGACCGCGGCGTAGAAGCCCGGGCTTCCCGTGCCGTCAACTACTTGCCCATTGACTATAAGAATGTCCAGCATGTTCATCTCCATTGCGCTGCGAGAGGATTTGTCAGGTCTGGATGATAGCAGGGTTTCGGCGGCGGCGGAAAGTTGGCGACGACTGAGTATCCTGAGATAGGGCTGATTAAGGGGGCGGAAAATGCTAGGCGGAACCGCCTGCAATATCTGCCTGTAATATCAGTGTGTCCATGTTACAATTTGCGGCATCTTTTGGCATACGGAGGGTTGCGAATCGAGTGACCCTCGATCCTAATCCAGAGCAAATAGATTGCGAGACTTGAAACGATGCCCAGCGCACTAGACGGAATTACTGTACTTGACCTGACGCGGCAGAGGCCTGGGGCACTGGCGGGCATGTTCCTGTGCGACAACGGCGCTCGCGTGATCCGCCTGGAACTTCCGGATGACGATAACGAGCGTACAGACCCATATACATGGTCTGGGATCGAGGCAAGGAGAGCGTCTCGCTGGACATATCATCCGAGCAGGATGTTTTCAGAAAGTTGGCGCTCAATGCTGATGTTCTCATTGAGGACTTTGCGCCAAGTTCGGCTTACCAGAAGATAGTGAACTATGGCGAATTGCGCCGTATCAATCCGCGACTTGTTCATTGCTCCATCACGGCATACGGCAAGCAGGGACCGATGCGGGACGAACCCGGCGACGAGCATCTGGTCATGGCCAGAATGGGCATACTTGCGTCACAGCCCGGCTTTCGTGAAGGACCGGTACATGTGGTGCATCCGGTCGTCAACCTGGGTACAGCGGTGCTGGCGGCGCAGGGAATCACTTCCTCGCTATACGCGCGGGAAAAGACCGGATTTGGGCGCAAGGTGGATACTTCGGTCATGGCAGGCTCGCTGATGTTCTCGCCAAAGATCATCGGGGAACGGCTTGAGCAGCGCCCGTTCCAGCTTACGACTGCGGGCGGCGGGCCATTTTACAGCGTGTTTGAGTGCGCCGACGGCAACTGGATTCAGATTGGATGTATTCACGGCGGCTTCGTGGATATTGCCGCGACCGTGATGGGCATTGCCGACCTGCTTGCAGACCCACGCTACGGCGATGGCAGGCGCCCGGAGAGCGAAGAGGCGCGTGCCGAACTTTTCGATATTGTGGCGAATGTTCTCAAGACGAAGCCATGTGCCGAGTGGGAGCGAATCTTCGAGGATGCGGATGTGCCGTACGCGCGCGCAAGTTCGACGGACGAGTCTATGGACAATCCGCAGGTCATCGCTAATGACATGTTGCTGCAAATGAACGATCCGATTGTCGGCGAAGTTACGCAGATGGGCAATCCGATTAAGTTCACGCATACGCCCGGGGGAGATTCGCGGCGCGCGGCCTTTGCGTGGGCAGCATACCGACGCGGTGCTGTCAGAGATAGCAGATGTGGAACTGCCCGAGGCGCGCGAATTGGAGCCGCGTGCTGACGCTCCACCGCTTGACGGCGTGCGGGTTATGGAGATGACGAATGTGATTGCTGGGCCCGCCGGCGGCAAGTGCCTGGGAGACCTCGGTGCGGACATCATCAAGTTCGAGCCACCATACGGCGACATATCGAGGCCCGCGGGGATGCAGTATTTCCTTTATCTGAACTCCAACAAGCGCTCGGTGTCTGCAGACACAAAGACGCCGGAAGGGCAAGAAGTAGCTCAGAAGATAGCGGCTGAAGCGGACATAATGCTGGCGAACATGCGGCCCGGCGCGACTGATCGCATGGGCCTCAGCGCCGAAAATCTGGAACGACTCAATCCAGGACTGATTCAGGCGCATACGACGGCTTTTGGCTGGTCGGGACCGTATGCCCATCGTCCCGGCGTTGACCCGCTGGCGCAGGCTTGGATGGGCCTGCAGTTCGCGCAGGGTGGGCGCGGCAATCCGCCGGTATTTCTCGCTCAGCTTGCGCCGACCGACTTTTCGTCCGGCGGCATGGTCGCACTGGGGGCGATAATGGCGCTTTACGCGAGGGAGCGCACAGGAGTCGCGCAGAAGGTGGACTGCAACCTGCTGAACTCCGGCGCTGTGCTGCGAGAAGACGATTTCCTGCGATACGAAGGCAAGACATCGCCGCCTATTGCCGACGGAGGGCAATACGGGCTGAGCGCCCTGCACAGGCTCTTCGAGACTGAGGAAGGATGGCTGTATCTCATCGCGGAAACGCAGGGAGAGTGGGAAAGCCTTTGCTCCGTGATGGAGCGCGAAGACCTCCTTCTGACGACCGATTTTCCTCTTCGGCAAAGCGAGTGGAGCACGATGATATCCTGTGGGATATTCTCACCGAGGCATTCGCGCAGGGGATGGCGTATGAGTGGGTGCGCCGATTGAGGAAGGCGGGAGTGCGCTGCGCCGACGTGACCGAGCGGTACAATGTGGGCTATTTCGAGGACGAACACGTTCTCGCAAGCGGGATGGTGGCTGAGTACGACCATGTTACTTACGGCAGAATGCACTACTTTGCGAACGGCATCATGTTTGGGGAGACACAGGGTATCAATGGCAGACCTACGCCGCTGCTCGGCGAACACAACCGAGAGAAACTGGCGGCGCTGGGCTACTCGCAGTCGGAAATAGATGAGCTTTACGAAAAAGGCATCCTTACCACGGAAGAGCCTCGCAAAGCGTAATCGCCCATGAGCGTCGAGATTTCCACAGCGAAGAACCGAGTACGGCTGCGCCTTGTTTTGCTTGCGTCTTCGGCGTTTATGCTCTTGCTTGCGCTTTTCGCCTATGCTCTTGTGGGCATACAGTGGGCAATTGCGCCGCTAGTGCTTGCCTTGCTGACATTCGGCATTGGCGCCGGCAGGCTTTCAGGTAGATCGCTGGCGCTGCTGAATGATGACTTGAGAGTGATACTCACAGGCTCGTGGGCATCTGTGCCGCCTGCAAATTCAGCGGAAGAAGAGGTGCCAGCGCGACCTGAATCAATCGCAGTTCAGCAGCCTGTTGACGCAGGAGTTGCCCAATCGTTTGCTCCTTCCTCGCTTCCCTCAAGTGTCACTGATCGAAGTGACTCTGCGGCATTAGCGCCTGGTCGTCCAATATCAGTACTGGGGCTGTCAGAGAAGCAAATTGGTATGGCGCTCTTAGTTGCGGGTCTGCTATGCGCGGCGCTCAGCCTTTACTCGTTCCCCAAGGGTCCCCCGAACACGCTGGCTTGGTGGAGTTACTTCCTGTCGGTTCTGTTTACCATTGGGGCTGTGCCTGCGTTCGAGGGCGGCTGGACGGCCTTCTTCGCTCGATTCAGGCGGGGGTATCAGGTCTCGTTCGAGCCGCGTGGGCTGCTGCCGTGGGCTGCGCTGGGCGGGATACTGCTCTTTGCTTTGCTGATTCGGTTGTACAATCTGGACGGATTCCCGCCGGGCATGTGGTTCGACGAAGCTGACAACATTGATCAGGCGAGGCTCATCGCGGAGCGTCCCGCGCAGACGCCGCTGTATGTGCCATCGAACAATCTGCCAAGCTTCTTCCTACTGCCCATTGCACTGATAATCAAGTTTGCTGGCATCTCTATTACGACAGGACGGCTTGTAGCGGTAGCCTTCGGCGTCGCCGGTGTGTTGGCAGTGTTCCTGATGGTGCGGCACATGTCTGGTACGGCGATAGGGCTTGTCGCCGCCCTTCTGACGGCGGTGATGCGCTGGGACATCACCTGGAGCCGCATCGGGATGCATGGCATAACCGCGCCGTTCTTTGCCGCTCTCGCCGCCTGGTTGACATATCGCGCAATTGACAGAGGACGCGCCGCTGACTTTGCATTGGCGGGGGCATGTCTTGGGCTGGGCATGTGGTTCTACGCGGCATATCGTCTGTTCGCCATCGTGATCGCCTTTGTGCTGCTGCACGCTCTCGTCTTCGGAAGTCAAGGAAGAAGGCGGCTGCTGGCGAACATCGGCGTCATGGCGTTTTTCTCGATCATCGTGACTTTGCCTGTTGCACAGTTCGCGGCAACTAACTCGGACGAGTTCTTCAAGAGGACGCAGAGCACATCTATTTTTGCGCACGTGGATGACGGCGACGAATCACGGGCTTTGCTTGAGAACCTGGGTAAACATCTCGGGATGTTCCACATCGAGGGCGATCCCAACGGACGGCACAACATACCGCGCGCACCGATGCTGGACATCTTCTCTGGTCTGCTGATGCTGGTGGGATTGGCGATAGCGGCGACAAGATGGCGCGATGTGTCTTTCATTGTGCTACCTGTGTGGGTTCTGGTGATGATAATGCCGGGGGTTCTGACGATACCATGGGAAGGTCCGCAATCGCTTCGCAGCATTACGGTGATTCCCGCGGTGATTACTCTTATTGCTATTGCCATCGGCTTCATCTGGAATTTGGGGTGGTCTGCGCGCTTTGCCGTTGTGCGTCTGGGGACTGCGGCGGTGATAACTGCGCTGCTTGCAATAGTTGGGTACGCTAACCTCTACGCATACTTCGGCGAGCAGGCGAACAGCCCCAAAGTGTACGCGGCGTATTCCACGGATGAAACACTGATGGCGCGCGATGCTGCTGAGCAGGTTGCACGGGGCTATGTTCCGATGGTCTCACGGCAGTTCAGGCATAGCCTTGTTGCCAGTCTGTTCGGACATCGCTTTCCGCGGCAAACGATCGCCGCGCCGACGAATATCCCAATTGACCCACAATTGGTGTGGCATGGTGCGGCAATTTATCTGGAGCCGCGTGAGGCAGGATTCTACGACACCCTGAGAGCGTACTACCCGTCGGCAGACTTTCGTGAGATAAGACCCCCTACGGGCGGCGATGTGATGTACTATTCGGCTTACATCAGCCGTGAGCAACTAGAGGCAGCCCAAGGGCTTGTGGCGCGGCGTACACTGCGAGATGGTGAGGTCATCGAAAGCGTCAAGACAAGCACGGAAAGCGTCTGGATGCTGGAAGTCGATGCCGATGACACACCTTTCGATGTTGAGTGGGAGGGCGCGCTGCACATAACTCATCCCGGCGAATATGTTCTCGTGCTGGACAGCGATTCGTCGGCGACCGTCGCACTGGACGGCAGGAAAATTCTGTCTCATGACAGGCCGCGCGTGACAATAGTGCCGGCGGTTGGGCTGCATGTGTTGAGAGTGCACTCGCGAGTAGAGGATGCAGACGGCGTGCTGCGCGTGCTGTGGCAACCGCCTCCACCGCCGCCAATCGAAGGGGAGGAACCGTCGCCTGTTGAAGACATAGCTGATCTAGATCCGGAGCCGATCTCGTCAGCCAATTTGTACCATGGCGACGTGCGTCCTGTGGGACTGGCTGGGCGCTTCTTCGCCGATTTGGAGGATGTCGATGGATTGGGCGATGCAGCTGCCTGACGCTATGCGCGTTACGCCGGGAATAGGCGGCGCGTTTTGGTATCACTCTGTCGTGAGTGGGGCGCACCTGGCGGTGTGGGACGGTAACTTGCAAGCGCCCGAATCCGGCTTGTATCGGTTCAGATTCGGTGAGGCTCATGGCGAAATGAAGGTGATAATTGACGGAGAGACTCTAATAGATACTCGCGCCGACAGGGAGGTAGAGGTGGAACTGGTGGAAGGTGAGCGTCGTATCCGGTTGGAGTATCTGACGAGTGCGGGGTCGCCGTGGTTCGAGGTGCTGTGGGCGCCGCCGGGACAGCCTGAATCGCGTATTGGGCCGGAGTATCTGTCGCCTGCGCCTGAGTATATGTTTCGGGTATTGGAATAGGAACGATGCTGCCTGCTGAGCGTCGTGGCTGAGGCTTGCTGAATGGATGAACTTGCGTCTTGCGTAGGTTAGAAGCTCTCTAGGGCTGCACATTGAGATGGCTGTGTTATACTGCGCGCTGTTGGCGTTTGATTAAGTGGGAGGCTACCTGTAATGTTTGATGTTGTAATTCTTGGCGGGAGCGTTGTTGACGGCACGGGCGCGCCTGCCTATCGGGCCGATGTTGGCATTAAGGGAGAGGCGATTGCCGAGATTGGCGACCTGTCGCAAGCTCAGGCGCGCCGCGTCATAAATGCCGCCGGCCTGACTGTTTCGCCAGGGCTTCATAGATACACATGCTCATTCCGACGGCATACTGCTAATCGACCCGCAGCATGCTGATGGGTTGCGGCAAGGAATCACAACTGAGATTCTGGGGCAGGATGGGACTGTCTTATGCGCCGCTGTCTCTGAGAACTACCGCATGAACCGACGCTACTTGGCAGGCATTCTGGGCGAACCGCCAGAAGATCTAGATATGAGCAGCGTGCGGCGTTTCGCTCGCACTATCACAAGAAGACGGCTATCAACACCGCCTATTGCATCCCGCACGGGGCGATCCGACTGGAAACGGTAGGCTTCTATGACAAGCCGCTGGTGGGCGACGCGCTGGAGAAGGGGAAACAGCTCATACGCGAGGGTATGGAGCAAGGAGCGGTCGGGCTTGCCACCGGTATGTCGTACTTCCCCGAATGCTTGGAGCGACACCGACGAGCTCGTGGAGTTGTGCAAGGTGGTCGCAGAGTACGGCGGCGTGTATGTAACGCACCTGCGCGATGTGAACACGGAGCGCGGCTTTGGCGGAGGCGATGTGCCGGAAGCGCTGGAAATCGGCAGAAGGTCGGGCGTCAAGTTCACTTTTCGCACTATCGCACGCATCCGGAGAGCGCGGGGAAGGTCGCCGAGCGAGTGGAGCTGATAGACAAGGCTAAGGCGGAGGGAGTGGACTGCACGCTGGAGCTTTACCCGTATCCTACCGGTAGCAGCTACCCGATCCGCTATCTGCCAAGCGAGGTGAACAACGGGGGACCTGAAGCGCTGATGGAGCGGCTGCGCGACCCGGAAGAGCGGCAGCGAATGCTGGAGTATATGCAAGAGCGCTCGAACGATCTATCGTCCGCAGTGTTCACTTATCTGCCCAAGAACAGCCACCTGGAGGGCATGAGCCTTCGAGACATCGCTGCCGAGCGCGGGGGTGTCGATGGAAGAAGCGATGATGGAGATGCTGGTGGATGAGGAGCTACAAGTCGGCTACCGGGGCGCTCCGCCGGACAGCGTGAAGGTCTGGCAGCAGGTCAGCCGCGACTGCGTGGAACTGCTTTCGAGGCCGGACTATATGGTGGGCAGCGACTCGATACATGTGGGCAGCATGCCGCACCCAAGGGCTTATGGTTGCTTCCCGCGCTTTCTTGGACGGCTCCGACGCAGTTTTGGAATGCTCACGCTCGAAGAGATGGTGCAGCGCATGACGAACAATGCGGCACAACGGTTTGGGCTGACAGGACGTGGGCGCATCGAGCAGGGCGCATTCGGGGATATAGTGGTGTTCGATGATGAGCGAATCAACGACAACGCCACTTACGACGATCCATGCCAGTTCCCGACAGGTATTCCTTATGTGCTGGTGAACGGGCAGGTTGCAGTGGACAGCGAGCATTGCACGGGTGTGCTGGCGGGTCAGGCGGTGCCGTAGTGCTGCGGAAGCGCTAGGGACTGCTGCATTTGGACACCCTTTCGGTCGAGCAGCTTTTGCTGGTCGCCGCGATGGTATTCGCGGGGGCGCTCGTTTACTGTACCGCCGGGTTCGGTATTGGAGTAACCTCCATACCACTGTTGCTTTTTGTGGTGGACCCGCAGACGGCAGTGGTGCTCATAAACACCGTGTCGCTGTTCATGTTCTCGCTGGTTATATGGCAGACGCGGCAGCACATACCCGTTCGTCAAGTGCTGCCAATAGCCGCCGCGGGACTTGTGGGCGTGCCGGTCGGGATACTCATACTAAGGGACGCTGACACCGCGATTCTTCGCATTGCGATCGCTCTGCTCATAATCGCACTGACACTGCTTGCCGCTTTCAACAGGCGCTGGACGCTGCCCAACTCAACGCCGGTGGGATTGGGAACAGGCTTCGTTGTGAGCATGATCGTGAACGCATTTGGTGTGGGCGGCGCTCTGTTGGCGCTTGCGCTGCTTTCGCGCCGGATGTCGAGTCGGGCGCTGCGAGGCTCGCTGTCGCTGTACTTTCTTGCGGTAGAGGGCGCGGGAGTCATAGGTTACGGCGTAACAGGCCTGCTCACGGCAGAACGAGTTCAACTGATAGGCGTGGCGGTGCTTCCGGTAGTGCTGGGGTTTGGGGCGGCGGCGCTAATTCTTCGCCGGATAAACGAGGTAATGTTCCGAAGATTGGTCATAGTGGCGATAGTAGTTACGAGCCTGACGGTACTGGTGCGGGAAGTTGCAAGTTTGTAATGAGTATGCTTCAAATCGGCGTAGCTGCCTTCATGCTATTCCTCGGCTGTACGGCGCTCAGTGCGACGGGCTTCGGGATAGGGATGGTAGCGATGCCCGGCCTGTTATTCGTGCTGGAGCCGCAGACTGCGGTGGTCGTTCTGAATACGATCGCACTGGCACTTGAGGCGTGGATAGTTGTACAAGCTCGAAAAGACATACCCTACAGGGAGGTTCTGCCAATAGCCGTTGCCGGTGCGCTGGGCGTGCCGTTTGCGGTGTACGTCTTGAAGTTCGCCGATCCGGGCATAATGCGTATCGGCATATCCGTACTCGTCTTGATGTTGGCAGCGACCGCGACGTTCAACTTCCAGAGAGAATTCCCGTACTCGAAGGTAGTCGGCGTACTGGCTGGACTTGCGGTGGGGGTTGTGCTTCCTGCATTTGGCGTTGGCGGCCCCTGGTGACTCTCTATCTCCTGACGCGGAACTGGCAAAGAGAATCTGTCAGAGCGGCAATGGCATTTTACCTGCTTGTGCTGGACGTGTTCAGCGTAGCAGGCTACGCTGTCGCGAGGCTGTACACTGCCGAGAGGCTAATCCTGATTGCGCTTATGGTGATACCTATGCTGGCGGGGTTGGGGCTTGGCGCTCTGATTCTCAAATTGATGAGCGAGCGCGTATTTCGTTATGCGGTCCTGACGATAATAATCTCGTCCAGCATATTCGTACTGATTAGGGAGGTGGCAAGCATTTGATGGATTTGGGATGGCTTGAAGCAATTGTCGTCATATTTGCGATGCTATTGGCTTCTACGGTCTTCAGCGCGACGGGCTTCGGGATAGGCATGATCTCCACGCCCCTTATGCTGCTCGTCTATGAGCCGCAAACCGTCATTGTCGTGGCCGGGACGGCAGGTGTGGGATCGGCGTATGGATAATCTCGAAGTCTTGGCGGGACGTCCCCTTCAGAGAGATTTTGCCGATAACCATTGCTGCCCTGTGTGGCGCGCCTATCGCGGTTTTCATACTGAAGACGGCGGATTCGAGTGTGCTTAGCATCGGAATCGCCGTTCTAATCATACTTTTCGCAATTGGCTCGTTCGTTAAGATCGAGAAGGAGATTCCCTACTCTAAGCAGGTGGGAATCGCGGCAGGATTCATAGTGGGCGTGCTGCTGCCCACATCAGGTGTCGCCGGCTCTCTGGTGATGCTGTTCCTAATGACGAGGAATTGGGAGCGTCAGACAGTCAGGGCGGCTATGGCGTTCTTTCTGGTATCGCTGATGGCGTTTACGGTCGTGCTCTTTGCTCTCTATGGGCTGTACACACCCCTACGTCTCACGCTGATAGGCATAGTCGCAATTCCAGCGGTGATAGGCTTTCTGCTGGGAGCAATGCTCATCAAGCGCATTAATGAGCGGGTTTTCGGCAATCTGGTCATTGGCATCATCATCGTTTCAAGCATCGTTGTCGTGGTCAAAGAAGTGAGTAAGTATCTGTAATGGAGTTGACGCTGGGACTGACGGGAATTGCTATTGCGGCGCTGGCGCTATTTTTAGGCTGCACGGTGTACAGCGCGACGGGCTTCGGCATAGCGATGGTGGCCACGCCTATTGCGCTACTGGCTATCGCTGACCCGCAGACGGCTGTGATAGTGGTGAACAGCGCAGGCGCGAGCGCAGGGGTGCTGATAGCGATTCAGGCGAGAAAGGACGTCCCGTACCGTGAGATAGTGCTGATTGCGGCGGCTGGGGGGCTCGGAGTTCCGATCGGCGTAGCGATATTGAAGTTCGCGGAACCAACATTATTCGCATCGGCATTGCCACTCTCATCCTACTGCTCGCCGCCTTGTCGTTTAAGGAGTTTCAAGGTGAAATACCCTATGCAAGGGCACTGGGCATCGTCGCGGGCTTTGTGGTAGGAGTTACCCTGGCCGCATTTGCGGTCGGAGGACCGTTAATCGTCCTCTTTCTGCTTGCGAGGAACCTGCAGCGGCAGTCGGTAAGAGGAGCGATGGCGTTCTTCCTGTTCGTCATCTCAATGGTTGGGTTAGGCTTTTATACGTACTTCGGACTTTACACAGCGGAGCGACTGACTCTCATCGCCATCGTGCTTGTCCCGGCCTTCATTGGGTTCGCCCTAG